CAACCACATATAGTATCTCTCTCTGTCTCTCTGTCTCTCTCTCTCTCTCTCTCTCTCACACACACACACACAGCAAAAACTGATGTCCTGTCCCACTGGAAGAACACCCAGACACCTCTACTCATCACCTTCCATCTAGAAGAACTAGTCCCATCTTGCATTTCTGAGTCAGTATCTCTTGCAGTCACCTTGAATTCAGGAACAAAAGATGTGATGGGGAAGCATCTTGTGATGAGTCAGGGCTGCCCTAAGGCAGTCACAACTTTCCCCTTTGCAGGGAAGCTCCATGTGGCTATTCTGCAGTCACAGTCAAAAGACAGCAGCTTGACAAAGACTCCTGAGTTCCGGACCACTGCCTAGATCCTTCCTGTTCTTCTTGGTCGAGTCACAAAGCTCTTATTTGCTCATGAAGATGTGGCTGGGGAGGCTCAGTCCCCCAGGTCCTTCCTGGTACAGCAAATGGATAACCTCCTTTCCTACATCACCATTATTTTTCACAGAGTTTTACGGGGGCAGCAGCCAGACTTCTGCCTGAGGAATCCAGTAACAGATTTGGTTTCACACTAGGTGTCAAACTTGGAATCTTTGGACATTGGGACCACAGTCTATAAACTATTGCTTTACCACAGGGACATTTTTTTTTTTTTTTTTTTTTTTTTTTTTTTTTTTTTTAACATAGTAATCCCAATTTCTCTTCTCTTCCCTCCTTCCACCTTCTCCTTACTCTACCCCCCCCCCCCGCAACTCCCACTCCTTTTGCTCCTCAGAGAGGGTAAGACCTCAGTGAAGTCTGTCCCATCACCAGATTGAGGCAGGACCAAGGCCCTCCCCACTGTGTCTAGGACGAACAAGGTATTTCTCAATAGGAAATGGGCTCCAAAAAGACAGTCCATGCACCAGGGACAGATCCTGATCCCACTGCCAGTGGCCCCACAAACTGCCCAAGCCACCCACTGTCACCTGCATTTGGGGGCCTAGTTTGGTCCCATGCAGGTTCCCCAGCTGTCAGTCCAGAGTCAGTGAGCTCTCACTAGCTTGGGTCAGCTGTTTCAGAGGGGTTCTCCATGCTGATCGTCACTCCTTTGCTCCTCCCTCTTTCCAAGTGGACTCTGGGAGCTCGGCCCAGTGATTAGTTGTAGATCTCTGCATCTGCCTCCATCGACTCAGAGACACTCTCAACTTGCATGGGATGACTCAGTCTTTGGGAAGACAAAAAGGGAAGAAACGAGTAACACTTAAAGAGCCTATTAAAGTGGGGAGGAGGCTTCAGGTGTTGTGGGATATCTGTATGCGAGAATGTGTTGCTGTGATCTGTCAGTAAAAAGCTGAACAACCAATAGCTGGGCGGGAGGTAGAGGTGGGACTTTCAGGCAGAGAGAGAACTCTGGGAAGAAGAGAAGAGGGGTTGCCAGCCAGACACGAACAGGAAACAGGAAGTACAAGATAGAAGAAAGGTAACGCCTCATGGCAGAACATAGATTGATATAAATGGGTTGATTTAATTTATAAGACCTAGTAAAACAAGCCTAAGCTAAAGTCCAAGCTTTCGTAATTAGTAAGTTTCCTTGTCGTTATTTGTGTGAGCTGGTGACTGATGAAAAAGCTTGCTACAATCAGGGAAGCAAGACTCTTCCTACACAATCCCTGTTGCTGCCAGGAGTGTCAACTTTGGTCATCTCCATTCTTTGACCAAAGATATGTAGAATGACAGAAGTAATCAGACAGGTGTACTAGGACCAGAAGCTCAAGATCAACATAAAGGATTTTCAGACTCTTGTTTTATGAATATTTCCATCAAGTCTGTACCCCAACATTGCTTTCTCTCTGTGTGTGATGTGGTGATGGTGATGGTAGTGATGATGATGATGGAGATGATGATGATGGTGGTGATGATGATGGTAATGGTGATATTGATGATGGTAGTAATGATGGTGATGATGGTGATGGTGGTGATGATGGTGATGGTGATGATGATGGTAATGATAATGGTGATGATGATGGTGGTGGTGATAGTAATGTTGATTATGGTGGTGGTGATGGTGATGGTGGTGATGATGATGATGGTGGTGATGATGATGGTGATGGTGGTGATGATGATGGTGGTGGTGATAGTGATGATGATGGTAATGAAAATGGTGATGATGGTGGTGGTGGTGATGGTGATGATTTTATTTGCTTTGTTAGAGATCGGGTACCCTGGAGCTTGGTCCCACCTTGAACTTGCTCTGCAGTGAGACTTGGCCTTGGCCTGATCCTCCTTACTCTGTCTCTCAAGTGCCATCATGCCCACCATACTTCATTATTTCCCATCAGCCATATATCTCCTCGTTCCTGCTCACATATAAATTCCCACTTTGCCTCTGTCCTTGGAAGACTGGCTAAGACTGTCTGAACCAGTATTTCCCAAGTGCAAATCCTACAGCCCTAAATATAGTTATTCTCACTTTTTCATTTTCTGAATTTGGATTGATTGGCATTTCTTTAAGACTCCCTTTTCCTCCTTTAAAAAAAATTAGTCACTCAATAAATGCCTGTTAAAGACCTTGCCTCTTCTTCTTATTTTGAGTGTCCAATTTTTAGTGTATTACATTGGCAGATCTTGTTTTCTCTAATGATTATCCCATTTATAGTTTCCTTGCCTTTGTGTGCTTGTTACTTAACCAAAAGGAAGCATATAAACTCATGTGTGACCTGGACCAGCAGGTTGTTCTTCAGTGACAAGATCTTGATGGGGAGGTGACAGGGGATGAGAAAGACAGAGAATTCAGAAGATGGAGTAGATAGAAACTGGGGTTGGAAACTCTTACATGAGCCCAGGAAGTTTATTAAGAAATATATCATCTTCTATACTGTTTGCAGAGGGGAAATGGCCATGGTCAGCAGAAGGCTAAGTCAGACAATGTTAACAAGGAGAACACAGGATACCTCTGATACATGGCCTAGGGACTGATAACCACAGCTCAGGGAGAAGAGTCAGGTCCCCAGAAGCCACAACCTTGACTCCTATGAGGCACAGGTGCCATCGTCAGACAGGCCTTGACAAGTCCATTCCTGGAAAAAAACTCAAGTTCCCTTTGTCTTTTCATCAAGGCCTCTAAGAAAGCCTTGAGTCAGTCTGGTTCCTCACCTTGTACATGTGTTAGTTGGTCTGACTCCTTACCCCTGTACATGTGTTAGTCATTTCATCTACAGGCAGCTTGGAAGCAGGTTCCATGAATGGATGGGCAGATGGATGGGTGGGTGGGTGGATGGATGGATGGATGGATGCATGGATGGATGCATGGACAGATGCATGTATGATTAGATGCACCGATGGACAGATACATGGATAGTCACAGAAGCATAGGTGTGTGGATGCATGATAGATGTATGGGACAATGTATGACTAGATGAATGGAAGCATGAATATATAACAGATGACTGGAAGGATGCATGGATGCCTAAATGAGTGGGTGAGTGTGTGGGTGAATGAATGTGTCATTGGGGTAGTACTCTGGTTGAATGTGGGAGCTGGAGAGAGCAAATAATGAAATGTCTGCTGTATTCCTGGCCCTGAACAAGGGAATTTTTTATGTTTATTTCATTTAACCTCCACACAAGACTACAATGCAATTGTCAGCGTTCTTGTTTATTTTATTCATTTCACAGATATATACACACAAACTTAGAAAGGCTGAAACCACAGCACTGCTTTCATTTATCTATAACCTCTCCTAATTTTGAGGGAGGGAAGGAGAGAGAGAGAGAGAGAGAGAGAGAGACAGAGAGAGAGAGAGAGAGAGAGAGAGAGAGAGAGAGCAGAATGATGGGAAGGAAGGAAGGGAAGGGAAAAGATTTCAAATGGGTCACATGATTTAAGCTTGGTCCTGAACCTTGGGTTCCAGACAGCTCTGTTTTACTAAATGTCATAAAAGCATTTGGATTTTCAGAAGGTGGGTGGGGATGGTGTCATGGGTCAGGAAGGGAGTTTGAATTCATGGGCAGCTGACAAAGAAACACATATCCTCACCATGGCCAAGGCTGTCAGACAACACCAAGGTACAAAGGGTTCTTTCTTCTTGACCATTTGGTCTTGGAACCAGGGCCCACAAGGAAATCAACAAATTGCTTTCTCTTTGAGCCATTCTTCCTCCCCAGTGAAAGACGTTTTTCTTATTTATTTATGAACCTTGTCTACAAGGTTTCGCTATGCAGACCAGACTGGCCTTCAGCTCACAGAGATTCGCCTGCCTCTGCTCCCTGAATGCTGGCACTAAAGTCTTGCACCCCCCACACCTTACCCAAGTTAAAGTTTAAAACCCAGTCTATAAAGGGCCTGCCACTTGGCCGTGCATGTCTGTTACCTTAGCACTAGGGGTGGGGTAAGGAAGGACAGGCAGGCCCTGAGCTCTCACTGAGTTAGTGCATTGATGAGATCTGAGTTCAGTCAAGCGATCCAGCCTCAAAGTGTAAGCCGAGAGCCATAGTGAAAACCAGCAAGGTCACTCTCTGTGGAGGCCCACAGATATGGCTCCGTTCCATCCTGACTTAAGGTCAGAGAGTTCAAACCTATTCGTGCTCCTTTGCGGATAAGCAACAGGATGTTTGTTTAGCCGAATGTGTGGCTACTGGATGTCCTGACCCTCCAGACCCAATAGCAGGGTGAATCCAATGGAGCAGGTGCAGGTCGCTGATGATGTATGTCATCTTCCTCATCTCCAGACACCAATCCCCACCCCTAACACCAACCGATTTCTTCAACTCTTCAGTGCTCCCATCCGTTATTCTTGGAGAAGTGGACCTGTCTCGTCCCTCGTCTCCAGTTGACAGGTAACTGGTGAATGCACTCTAGAAACTTGATTTAGGAGATTACCTCACTGTGCAAGGTGGATTCCTTCCCATTTCCTCCCATCTCCCTGCTTTCAATCCTCTCAGAATTCAAGGGTTTCCCCTACCAGCCTTAATTCTTCTCCGGAGCCCAGTAAGATAAGGACAGAAACACAGACTCGGGAGCCTCTGGATTGGTGGAAAACGCTTTATTGGAGGTACTGAGCCAGGGGAGATTTGCTGTGGAATGGACGTCGGATTCCATGCTAGCCTCCTCTTCACGGGGTCAGCCTAGGTCCTAGGTCTTAAAGAGAATGATCACTGGGAATCAGGAACTGCACTTCTCAGTCCTTTTACCTGAAGGGCAAGGGGTGATGGTCAGATTGGGGACCCCCCACCCGGGATTGGAGCCCCCATAACAAAGCTAGGATGGGTGGGGCTTTGGTGGAAAAGAATTCTTAGCCTGGTCTGAGTTTCCATTGTCTTCTGAATATAGGAGCTGAGCTGGCTCTGCGCTATGGGAAAATGTTTATCCTTCCTTCAGTGTCCCTACACCTCCCCCCCCAATTCTCTGCCTCTTCCTTCATCCCACTCTCCTTAACTTCTGAATGAATCCCACTCTTACCTTAGGGAAGAAGTCCCAGTTAATGAAAGGCAATGCCTTTTTGAACGCCTAAAAGGAGAGAGTGAGGTTAGGTAAGCAGGCATCAGTGAACTCTGAATAAGCACGTGTCTGTGAACACTCACTGGATGAGCAGAAATGACAGAGTGGTCAGCCAAGTGCCATGGCTATTGGCTTGGTTTCTAAGAGCCCACACTCTGGAAGCCTCGTTCTGTGTCTGTTTGGCATTAGGCACGGTGCGAGCATGCTTTCATTTAGACGGCAGAGCAACCTCCTCAGGTGAGCATCATTGTCTTCATCCGGCACATCCCAGATGAAGGCACGGAGGCTCAGAGCCAAAGATGGTTTGCAAGGAGACATCTAGAAAGCACAGAGCCAAGGACACTAGTCTGGCTGTGCTCTGACTCAACTCTCTTGGTTTGGGTAAACCCGTTTCTTCATGAGGAATAGAGGACTCGAATAAATTGTGGTTGCTTGGTTTGGTTCAAGACAGAACCTTAACTGTGTACTCCAGGCTGCCCTCAAATTCATGATCCTTCCACTCCAGACACTGGCGTGCCGGAATTACAGGTGTCCTTCACATACCTGCCTCTCAACTACACCCTAAGCACTTACATCAGTGATGGCATGCCAGTTCAGGAAGTCCTCCGACTTGAAGGCCTGTAAGGGGAAAAAGAGAGAGGCCAGAGGCCAGTCAGTTCCAGAGGCCACCCATGCTTTCCCCAGCCCACTGGAAAAGAGGGCGATGGGCCCAGGAACTGTGCAAGCTGTCTCCTCTGTGAGGGGGGCAAGCCATGGAATCATACTCACAGATTGCAACTTGTCAAGGTTCAGGAACTGACTGTTAAAGCCCTAGGCAAAAAAAAAAAAAAAAAAAAAAAAAAAAAGCAGGGTGTTAGGGAAGTCACGGAGGAGGACCGAGGTGGGGACACCCGGGACAGTATGGGGAAACAGGTGTTTACCTCGGATCCGGTAGCATAATTACTGATGCTCGTCTCATCCTGGAGAGGGTGACAGAAACCAGACAAATGACCCCGCGAATGCTGAGCCCGCCTCCCTGGCACCCACCCTTCCCTGTCTTCTTCCTCCTTTGTAAGCTGGTCCCCAAGAGGCACCGCCCACGGTCTCTCCCTGGGGCCCCAGTGCTAGCCCCATTCTGGCCCAGGACACCCAGTCCCTGGCACTGGGTGGAAAGAAAGGGTGGAGAGAGAACCCCAGCTGACAAAACCAGTTAGTATTGTTTGACAGTTGATTTTCTGTGTGCCAAACACCCATGCTTGCTGGCCAGGTTGGGTGGAGACCAGAATGCTAGCAGGAACCAAACTCCTAAGGTGAGCTGCCTGCTCTCACCGACCGAGTCTCCTCTTTTATTCCCTAAAGACCTCTGTCCCTTCATCTTACTGACTCCCTTATCCCTTCCTCCCCATGACAGAGGTCACAAATACGTGGCCCTCTGGGCAGGGTCCCAGTTCGCAGAGCTCAGTGGTTTAATATAGTTGTTTTAAATTTGAATTAAACTCGGGGTAGGGTGGCTCAGAGGTTAAGAACACCTGTTGCTCCTGTTGAGGACACCTACCTGCATTAGGGAACTCACAACTGAACTCTGGCTCCAGGGATAAGATGCCCTTCTGACCCCTATCAGCACTAGCATGTCCATTCATTCACACACACACACACACACACACACACACACACACACACTCTCTCTCTCTCTCTCTCTCTCTCTCTTTCTTGTGGGGTGTGTGTGTGTGTGTGTGTGTGTGTGTGTGTGTGTGTGAGGGTCTAACAATGAACTTCAAACCCCTGATTCTCCTGCCTCAGCCTCCCAAGTGCTGGGGTCACAGTTGTGTTCCACTATACCCAGCTAATCCTTAATAAGCAAGAATTCATAAACAGACACAGATTTCCAGTGTCTCATGAAAAGTATAAGGCTCCAACCACCTTGGGTACATTCCCTCCTCTTAGCCACAGTCTGATGGCACAGTGATGCCACACTGATGGCACAGTCCTCCAGCTCATTTGAGATCCTGCTTACCCTGAGGCCACTTGCTCAAACCTGGTGGAGACCAAACCCCTTGTCTTAGACTTTTAAATCCAGGAAGAATGTTCTTCCCTCCCTTAGGGTAAGGCAGGCAGAGGGACTCCAGAGGTCATCTCTGTCCTGGGGACTCAATCTAAGGAGTCTAGACCATCTCTGGAAGCTGCTCAGGGGGTTAGAAAGGAAGGCTGGATTAGGGGGTTCCCACCTTAGCTGCCAGGCCCCCCGGGCCCCACCCCACCAGTCTTTCCAGATGTGTAAGCATCCCTGTCTCCCCAGAATTGCTCTGCTCGGCCCCCCTCCTCCTTTTGCACCAGGCTACATCCCTATGCTCACCCACCCTTCCTTTATCTCTCCCTCAGAACCCCAACTTCTCATGCAGCTCCTGGAGCACACCCAACAAGTAAGAGTCCCTTCTCCAGTGACAGACAGGAGGCACCAAGGGGCAGCTGGGTAATAGGTCTGAGGAAGGCCAAGGCTGCTGGTGTGCTCACCTCAGCGCCCCCCAGGGCAGCTCCCTGGACCGCATGCAAGGCCAGAAGAGAGAGGAGAGCCACAGCGGGAAAAATTGGGATCTTCATGGTGTCAGGGTCTGGGACACTCTGAGGCGGGGCCTCACTGGTGGCCCTATATATTAGCAAGGAGGCGGCTATAAGAACGAGCGGGATCCCCACCCTACTGACTCACCCCCAGATCATGTCGCCCACCCCTGGGGCCCCGGGAGCGGGAGGCATAGACTGTTCCCAGTATATCTTGGATTTCTCAACTCTCATTCCTCCCCCGGCTCTTGCAAGGTGAGGCTGCCCTGGGTCTGTTCATGCATGAGGCGATGGGACAGAGACAGGTTGGGCCTGTCCCTGCAGGAGTTGGCATCCAAGCAAGATGTCATTCTGCATTTGTCTCTTTTCCTCTATCCCTCGCTCCTGTAATTGTGACCCTCCACCCTTCCAAATCCCTCTAAAGCCCTGGGACTGGTGTGAGGTATGAGGCCTTGCACACTGCAGACCCCGCCTGCCCTTCCGGCTTCCCTCTTTTGCTCTCTTCCCGCATACCTCATCGGCTGGCTAAATTAGCCTCCTTGCCAAGCATGCCCCTTCCTCCACCAGGCATATGCCTGAGCCTCTCACCTTTTTCTCTTCCTCTCTCCTTCCCTCTCTTCCTTCCTTCCTTTCCTTGCGGCTTTTTTTGAAATCAGGTCTCATGTAGCCCAGGCTGGCTCACTGTATAGACAAGGATAACCTTAAACTCCCGATCCTCCTCCTCAGCCTCCCCAGTGCTGAGATGACTCACACATGTCACCGTGACAGCCTAAACTGTCCCTTAGTCCTAAAGTGGCTTTTGCTCATCTCTGGCTCTCAGAACTCAGCATCCGCCCCGGTTGCTCACATTAGCCCAAACTGTCCCTCCTCAGAATTGCTTGTATCTCTCTGAAGAAGATGCATGCCCAAACTTAATTTCTCTTGTTTCTCTCTTGAAATATTGAGTCTCGTATATGTGCGTGGTGTGTGTGTGTGTGTGTGTGTGTGTGTGTGTGTGTGTGTGTGTGGATAGGAAGAGCACACTTTGGATGGCTCTCTAACCAGGCTGGTATTAAACTCACTATATAGCCAAGGATGACTTTTAACTTCTGGGCCTCTGGCCTCCACCTCCATAGTACTGGGTTTACAACCTTGTACCACTCCACCTGGTTTACACAATGCTGGGACTCAAACCCAGGGCCTTATGCATGTTAGGCAAGCACTCTACCAATTGAGCTATATCCCTGGCCCGGGAACTATACATCAATCCCCTTTCTATCCACCAGCACTATGCCTTATGCACAATGCGATGGAGATTGGGAGCATCAGAATTGCATCCAGCTCCGCACTTTGCTCTCTTGGGTCTGGACCGTGCATATCATCCAGGCATCGTTCCTGCATTTCACATAGATAACCTAGGAAAACAAGGGAACCAGAAACACAAAGGAACACAAGTGCCAGAGACCCAACTAAAGGAGCACCTGAGCTGGCCTGACCTCCGAGCTCCTGCTCCGAGCCCCACTCCCACCCCACCCCACCCTTAGCGGGAGTGGGATCACCTCAAAGTGACGAAACAGCCCGATGATGCAACCTCTGCAATGAGGTCCAGATGGTCCAACCGGTGTCACAGGGAGGTGCTGGGACACAGACCAGAGCTGTCCTGGCAAAGCAACCCCTTATCTGAGCGTTGGATTCCTTACCCCAACCTGAGGCAACACACACAGTTGGCAGGTCTAGGGAGGGGGAGCTGGGTGTCATTCCTGAGGAATTTCTATGAACCCCAGATGCTGGCACTGCAGTCCCAGGCTGTCCTCACCTCCCAGTGCCCTCTTTAGCCTCACGAGGCCTCTCCTGTAGGCACAGAGTGTCTTCCACACAGCCTGAGGAACACCCACTTCGTAGGCTGGCCATGTGACTGCGAGTGTCCGGTTCAGCGGACACTCCTGGAGGGGACGAGAACGAGCATAAAGTGAGGCGGGCGGAGTTCCTCCCAAAGGGTGTTCTGGAGGACACGGTTTTTGTGAGAGGGTGGATTCATTCTGTTTAACTAATTAGCAGTGCCTGCCGAGCTCATGTTAGCCTTTGCACCGCGAACAGAAGCCCCGGGAGAAGTGAATGAAGAGAGCAGATGTTATGCAAATCGGCTCCATTTAGATGTGCTAATAGTGGAACCCAGTTTCAAGCCTGGCCCCTAGGGTTCTGCTCTGTGGCGGAGCTTTTGTAGTATATTGACATCTCAATGATGTTTTCCTTTCCACCTAATGGTCCCGATAACGTTGCCAGTTCTGGCTCTGTGGCAGAGCGTGTGCTAAATATTTTGAGTGCATAATCTCATCGGATTATCAGAAGTTCTGGGAGATAGGCACTATAATTACCCACATTCTGTGGGTGGGGGAGCCACAGCAAATACAGAGATCTCATGGCCCGTGTGGGTGTGTGGCAGGGCCAGTGTGAAGGCCCTGTGATTCCAAGACCTGAGCTGGGGCTCTCATAGTCCTTTGCTCCCTGTGTCTCTCAAAGGGCTTTAGCGTTGGGTATGAATTAGAGGCTTGACCAGAGTGCAGGGCAGACTCAGTAGCCACCTTGGCCAGAGGAGCCTTGTGACCAAAGCTCCAGATGGGAATGTGCTAACCTGAATGAATTCAGCCAGATGCTCTCAGCAAACAGAAAGAATGGCACAATGAAGGGCTGTTGTCCCAGGTACTCCAGCAACTGAGGCAGGAGGATGCAAAGCTCAAGGCATACCTAGAGTGAGTTCAAGGCCAGCCTGAGAGCCTTACTGACATGCTGTCCCAAAATAAAAACTAAAAGAGGGTTGAGGATATACCTCAGTGGTAGAGCATGTGCCTGGAGTCCACCAGAGAGGGGGTTTGAGTGTGGCTCAGTGTTAGAGCATGTACAAGGCCCTGAGCTCAATCCATAATACTGGGCTACAGTGCAAGGTGTGTGTGTGTGTGTGTGTGTGTGTGTGTGTGTGTGTGTGTGTCTGTGGGGGGGTGCTACTGGCATTTGGCAACTGTATGTCCTACAATGAACCTGCAATTAATTACCTCTGTTTCCAGATGTCCCACATAGAAAAACCATCTTCCCACATCAAGTATGTCTTTGAAGGTAATGTTCTAGCTGGGTGTGGTGGCCATAGGGACCTGGAGAGCTGGAGACCAACCTGGGTTACATAGCAAGATCCTATCTCAGAAAACAAATAAACAAACGAACAGTTTAATCAAACAAAGATAGTCCCTTACCTTGGACCCTGTGTTTGTAGCTGTAGTGTGTAGACTAACAACACCTCTAACACTAGCCGATCTCAGGTTTTCAACAGAAGGAATTCTGTCCCTTGCAGAGGCCAAAGCTGGCTGCACTGGGTCGTTGACTTGTCCTCACTCGTCACCTACCAGATGATCCAAACACCGTTTTTGTGTTATGGTACTGGGGGTTGAACCTAGGGCTTCATACATGCTCAGCTAAACTACTACTGAGCTATATATACATCCTCGGTTACTATTTCTTTGCTCTTACACCTAGTGTGTGTGTGTGTGTGTGTGTGTGTGTGTGTGTGTGTATGCGCGTGCGCATGCTTGAGGTGTGTGCTCGTGTGCGGGGTGGGGGTGGGGTTGGGGGTATAGGTCAGAAGACAACTTCAGGAGTCAGTTCTGGATTTCTCCAGTCGAGCCATCTTGCCAGCCCTCTTTTTATTTTTTGTAACAGGGTCTCATTCAATGGCCTCAACCAGGGGCTGGAGAGAGTTTGATCATTGAACTGCTTGTCAGGTACGCATGAGGTCCCTGCCGGATCGCTAGAACTCACGTAAAACAAGAAAACTGCTTAGCAGTGTGGATTCTGGGCTCACTAGCTAGCCTGGACACTGGTAAGTCAGTGGGAGACTCGTCTCTAAACAAGGTGGGTGGCTCCTGAAGAATGGTACCCAAGGTTGTCTCCTAAATGGCACTCAGACATGAGCACATGTGTTATACCCACATGGGCATGGACCTCTCTCTCTTTCTCTCTCTCTCTCTCTCTCACATGTGTGTGCATGTGTACGCGCACACGCACACAAGCTTCCCAGGCTGGCCTTGAATTTTCCATCCTCCTTCCTCAGCCTCCCAACCCGTTGGAAAGATAGGTTTGGCTCCCTGATAAAGTTTTAGGAGAGAAATGATTTCTTTGTTAAGCACTGATGTGAGACACCTTCTCCATCCTCCTCCCCTTCATCCATCCACACTGCCTTGGTGACTTTGTGCTTCCCAAGTGTCCTAATAGAGTGGGGAGAGGGGCAGGTAGGTCTCAATAAGGGATGTCACTACAGTTCAGCCATGGAGCGGGGAGGGGACAGAGAAAGTCTCCCAGGACCCCACTCTGCTTTGAATGAATACACGGAGTGACAGGGTCCCACAGACTCTGGAACCCCATCTCTAGGTCTAGGTTCCTTCTCTCAGAACATCAGTAAACACTTGCTTACTCACCGCTTGTCCCCGCCTACCCCAAATGTGACAGAACTTGAATGTGGGTAGGAGGTGAGGCCCAGCCCTGATTGCTACATCATGGCAAGCACTGGGCAGGAGCCAGCCTCCTGGGTATCAGAGCTGCATGATTAAAGGGATGGCCACCAGATACTCAGGGACATTGGGGACAAACGGGGACATCCCTGGAGATAGAAGGGGGCCTGGAGTTTCAGGAGAGCGTGGGGCAATTAGAGTGGAGACGAGTGACCACCAGTGCCAATCATTGCCACAGCCCGGGAAACAAGTGTCACAACAGGCCCTCCTCCCACCTGGAAGCTGTTTGCCTAACCTTCTCCCAGGAAGACTTCCTGGATCCGCCCCACTGAACTCCAGCTCCTCCCACTCACTGGGTAACCGTAAAGATGTCTTGAGCAGGCACTTTAGTTCTCACTGTTAAGAAGAGAGACAAGATGGCCAGCCCTTCCATTTCTGCTCCTCTGGAGAAGGCGGAGAGCCGCCTAACAAAACAAACAAGTGTAGGGTGATGAACAACAGAGAAGATGACCTGGGGAGGAGCCCAGATCCGGAAAGAAACAAAGCAAGATGTTCACTACTGAGGGTGAGGAGACAGTGAGCTGGGCCTGGAGCCTGAGGCAGAGCCCGCATGGGCCACCCAGGTGAGAACCTGTTTCCAGATAAAACCTAGTCGTGCCTGAAAGTTGGTTCAATGGACAAAGGCGCTTGCCATCAAGCATATTGTCTGATCCATACAAGGGAAGAAAGGCCTGACACTGGCAAGTTATCCCCCTGACCTACACACACACACACACACACACACACACACACACACACACACACAGGCACATGTGTGGGTTTGCCCGCGCACACACATACACACAATAAATTTCAATTAGAAAAGTAAAAAGGCTGAAGACACAACTCGGTGGGGGAGAAGTAGGGAAAGGGGAGGTGAGCGATATCCGTACCGGATTACCCTGTCACCTCGAGAGCCCCTCCCACCAGATCCTTGACCTTGAAGGCATAAACTACTCAGTTGGGACCTCAGAGGCCCCAGCAAAACCTAAGGGCTAGCTAGGACAGGACCACTGCCCAGTTATTGGAAGGCTCCTTACACCAGACAACCTCACGTTAAACTGGGAACATCACCTAAGAGTCGGGAGCCATCTTGATCCTCGTTAATTGACCCCGGGAGACCTGGGCCCCCAACCATTTCCCATTCCCATTCACACAGCAGGAAGCCCTGTCACCGGTGAGGGCCTCCTCGTCCGCCCCCATGTGGCTGTAATGAGGTACTGCAGGGCCCTCCATAAAGTTGAGAACAATCCTGAGCCTCAATTTAAGAAGCAAATTAAGGGGAGAACAGCGAAGGAGTAGACCAGAATTTCCGCTCCGGAAGGTGGGTTTGATCAGGTGGCTTTCCTGAGTCAGCTTAAGGCCGGGTTTCTTTCACTGATCCACAACTTAGTTGAGGCCTTGTGACTAACTACAGCAGAGGACGGTGCTCCAAGCACTTCGGGAACTTGCAAATGGTACAGGACTCACGAAATGGGCAGGCTTTCTTGTCTTTCTCTTATTTCCTGCTCCCCTCCATGGATATCGGGGGTGGGTGGGAGAACTCTGATAGGGGACCCAGTTCCATGAAGCACAGAACTGTCTGGCCCCATCCCAGGGGCTGCACAGCCCGTGTCCAGGGCCCCTCAGCGGCATAGCCCGGTTACGTGGCAAGGCAGTGGCTTGGCTTCCCCTTCACTCCCTAGCTTCCTCAACGCTGGCACCATCTGCTAGTCCCCATCCAAACGTGAGTTGTATGACATGCCTGACATAGTCCGCCAGTCATTGCGGGCCTGCATGCCCGGTCCCTGTATGTTCCCACCCCCCAGACCTGGTTTCGAAGTCTCTTGACTCCGACCTCCTGGTTTTAGCTGTTGTTCTGTTGCCCTTTCAGACCATCAAATACCTACAGCTACTGTAAACGTGGTATTCGTATGGTAGGCAAAAACATTTTTTGCAGATGGAGAAACTTGCACGAAGCCGTCAGCTAGCTGCGACCCGGGTTACCCAAACCTGAGTCCAGCCACCACGCCTCTCACTCCAGGCTCAGGAGAAAGGTTCTCAGCCATCCACACACCTGCCCACTCCCCCCAGACCCAGGTCAGGAGAGCCGTATTAAAGAACAAGTTGAGACGGTCTCAAGGGAACAAAAGAAGTCGTGTTTTATTTCTACCGAGAAACTCCAAAGCAGAAAGTTCCTACGGCGGTTGTTAGGGAACCTTCCGGTCACAAACTAGAAACTGGCTGGTTATCCAATGAGGCTGACTTGTCTCCGAGACACCACAGCCTCAGCCAAATGGGATGATGGGGGATGTCAACGCCCAGGTAGGTCTGTCACAGCAGAGAGGACAATCAAGCTCCCTGAAGACCTGTGTTCATGAAGTGTCAGCAGTGACTAGAAGGAATTTTCTAGAAGGAAAAAACACACACACACAAAGAGAAAAACAAATGCTAGAACACAGCCACCTCACATCAATGGAGAACAAACCCTTTTGTAAACATTCCTACCCGTCCACCTTCAGCCCCTCACTTCTACCTTCTTTGTCTGTTTGTTTTGTTTTGTTTTTTCCAGACAGGGTTTCTCTGTGAAACAGCCCTGGCTGTCCTGGGACTCTCTCTCTATAGACCAGGCTCGCCTCGAACTCACAGAAATCCACCTGCCTCTGTCTCCCGAGTGCTGGGATCAAAGGTGTGCACCACCACCGCCCGGCCACTTTTACTTCTATATAAAACAAATTGTGTGGTCTCACTGGGGTCCCACTTTCCAGGCCAGGCATGGTGGTACGCTCCTGTGCCACCAGCACCTGGGAGAATTCGGAGTTCGGAGCCACCCTGAGCTACACAGAGAGACCCTATCTCAAAGAACGAAAAGCAAAACCAAAAGAAACAGACTTCCAATCCTGGAGCCTTATTCACCGAGCCCCTCAACCTTCGCCTCCTGGGAGGCTGGCTCACTGTAAGTACCACAGGGCAGGCTTCTCGGTTTTGTGCCCTTGTCGTTCCCTGTCCGTGCAGCCCTCCACCCGGCAGGCCCTCACTCATAGACTAGTCCCGTGTGTCCTGGGCCATTTTCTAAAGACTCTTTCTCCAGGCCCCACAAAGAGGGTGCTTTCCTTCATCCCTCCTCAGTAAGCGCCCCGAGGAAAGCTGCTTGCTGCCCTTGCTGCTGCTGCTGCACGTCAAGGCCCAGCTCCCAGCCTGCCCAAGAGTCGGCTGCTTCTACTCCTGGCATTCTGCCTTGCCTGTGTGGCCCACGCTGACACTTACCTACCAAAACTTCAGCCACCTCAGCAGGCCAGGTTGTGCCCGGGAAGCCTGCAGGACAAGGGGAATGGCTGAGTGGACATCACACTGTTACCTCTGATAGCATCCAGGCACAGCTGGCCCTGCCCCTGGGGACCTGGCAGGGTGTGTCACCCCTGCAAGCATGGCAAGCAGCACCCTGGCTCTGTACTCAGGCGCAAAAGGTCCCTTTAAGAGACAAACTCCACCCACTCCCAATCTGGCTTTCCTGCTGTCCCTCTGAAGAGGCAGGCAGGCCTTTGCTTCTGTCTCTGTCTCTCTCTGTCTCTGTGTGTGTGTGTCTCTCTCTCTCTCACTTCTCTCCATTCCCTTCCCCTACTCTCTTCCCTTCCCCCAATGAAACTTCCCACCTAAGCTCTGTCTGCATGGAGTGTGTGTCCCTCACCCACGTGGGGCTTCCCGCCAAGGCCCCTCTGCGCCAGATCATAACAGCCTCCACCCTCAGCAGCCTCAGGTCGGTCCCTCTGTCCTCAGGTCCCTCTGTCCTCAGCTGTATCTTCTCAACCCCCCCCCCCATACTCACCGAGGACGACGGTGTGACTCCTCCCTGGAAAGAGAAGATCAAAGGAGGTAACCTGGAGTCATGGCGGCCCTCTCTAGGCGCTACCTTGACCTCAGGCTCCCCAAGGTCCCTCCCAGGCACAAGCCAACATTATCAGCAAGGTCCTTCAGGCTGGCTGTGGATACTTTCCCCCAGAGCACACACTTTATCCAGGGTGATACTGCACAGTGGTCCCCAAATACACAACACAGTGGAGGAGGAGAGCTCTCCTCTCCATGGGAGGGATGGAAGTCAGCCACAGATAGAGGCCAGATGACGCCGATGGTGGCATTCACTTCAGTGTAGAAGAACCTCACGCGTATTAGGCAAGTGTCCTACCCCAGAGCTGTGGCCCAGGTTAGATGTGAACTCTGTAGCCCAGGCAGTTCCTGAATTTGTGATCCACCTGCCTCAGCCACCCCAACCCAGACCACCACCAGGCTGCGAGTTCTCCAATCTTAGGGTTCTTGAGCCAAGGCTTCACTGTTCCGAGAAATGGAAGGAAATCCCTGGCCTGCTTTTCTTTGCCAGCCTACTTGGAGGCCACCATGCTCACTCTCTGGTATTATAGTATCGCCTTGCTTATTTCTTGGCTGGTTGCATGGCTGGTTGATTAATATCAGTTGCAATGCTAGGAACGGAGCCCAGGCCTTTCCTCTGGTAGATGGTCACTTTATAGGGGAGCCACACCCCTAAGTCCTAGGACTGCCCTCAGTTTTTTGTTTGGTTGTTATTTATTTTGCATATGTATGTATATGGGCCACAGTGCACACGTGGAGATCAGAGGACAACGTGAAAGAGTCAGCTCTCTCCTTCCATGTGAGTCCAAGGGACCAATGGATCAATCTCTGCTTGTGAGGCTTAGCAGCAAACCCCTTTACCTGCTGAGCCAGCTCATGGGCCCCTAAGACTGCCTTGTCTGCAGCTAAGCAAAACAGCCTCTCAATTGTCCCCTCCCCGCCATTTTTTTAGATTTCCCCCCGAAGAAGTTCGTTTCCCACCAACCAAGAGTCCCTAAGCTTAGCTTCTAGGATGAGCTGGGTTGCTTTCCTCCACCCCAGCCGCTGCTCCCCAAAGGGCAGGAAAGTCACACTATGAAGCAAGTCTGTGTGGAATGGCACGGGACGGGATGACACACATCGGAGTCTTTCTTACAAAGCAGTGTGACGGAGAAAGGAGGCAAGCCTCTCCCTGCTCCAAACACACACACACACACACACACTCACAGAGAGAGAGAGAGAGAGAGAGAGAGAGAGAGAGAGAGAGAGAGAGAGCAGATAGACAGACAAAAAACAAAGCTTTTTCAAAGCTCACCTTGGCAGTGGTCTTGGCATAATACTGCCAGTTGTAACCAGGACTCCCCTGCTGGCTATTATAGTAGTTCTGGGGGAAACAGAAGGGCATGGGGGGGGGCAGAGGAGATGATATTACATTGTGTAAAAACACTTCGCTTCTCTGCCCAGACGGCAGGTTTCTGAGCAGCCTGTGCTCTGTCCCCTCCTTGTAATGTGGGCTTTTCTTTCATGTTACCCCACAAAGCCACCTGGAGCCCAGCCCATCAGGTCCTTCCTCCTCCTCCCTGGTTCCCATCCTGAAGTATGACATGGGAGGCAATGGTAGGAGACCAAGAGAAAGGGTGGCATTTACGGTGGGGGTGGGGGTGGGGGGTGGGGGGATGGGGGTGTGGTGGGGATGGGGGTGGGGGATGGGGGGATGGGGGATGGGGGTGTGGTGGGGATGGGGGTGGGGGATGGGGGTGTGGTGGGGATGGGGATGGGGGTGTGGTGGGGGATGGAGGTGGGGGTGGGGGGATGGAGGTGGGGGGTGGGGGTGGGGGGATGGGGGTGTGGTGGGGATGGGGGTGGGGGATGGGGGGTGTGGTGGGGGATGGAGGTGGGGGTGGGGGATGGGGTGTGGTGGGGGTGGGGGATGGAGGTGGGGGGTGGGGGATGGAGGTGGGGATGGGGGTGGGGATGGGGGTGGGGGATGGAGGTGGGGGTGGGAGATGGGGGTGGGAATGGGGGATGGGGGATGGGGGTGTGGTGGGGATGGGGGTGGGGGATGGAGGTGGGGGTGGGGGATGGAGGTGGGGGTGGGGGTGTGGTGGGGATGGGGGTGGGGATGGGGGATGGGGGTGGGGTGGGTGGGGGTGGGGGGGTGAGATAGCTTGCCTTGGATGTGACAGCTGACACCTCTTGTCTTGCAGCTTCAGCCTGGGAAAACTATCAGGTGGGAGGTAAAAGAGAGAATTTCAGATTAGCCAGCCTTGAGAATGGGCTGACAGAGACCCAGGACGTTCCAAGGGAGCCTGCAGACAGAGGGACTCACCTGATCGGCCCCGCCTGCCCTCTTCTGCAGTGATGACAGATCTGAGCCCTAAAACGGAAGCTAAGGTCAGCTGCTCCGGCCGCTGTCCTCCAGGCCTAGTCAGCTTCCAAAGCCCAGACACTGCGATGCCTCGGCTCCATTTCCTCTTGGGGCCCTGCCTATCCCTCCCCACCCCTGTAATGGCCCCAGCTAAGTCCAGAGACCTGGAGGATGCCAGTGGCCTAGACAGGCACAGGACACAAACTTCACTCTCATGGTTGTGGAGCAAGGGTGCAGAGTTGGGCAACAGCACCACCCCCACACCCCCGCGGGGTTGGAAGCTCTGAGTGGTGCTAGAATAACAAAGCAGATGAACCCAGCCCCAGCCAGGTGCCTACACCAGCCCTTGCTGCTTCCTGTAGGCCTCTTAATCCTGCTGCTACTCTGCTACTCTCTGTGGGGTGCTTGAAGCCAGTGATTAGGTCAGCTCCCAGGAAAGAGAAGACAGGCAAGGAAGCCCTTGAAGTGTACATCCCACAGCTCCTCCACATTTGACACAGGCAGTAAGGATCAAACCCACCCTAGGCAGGTGCTCAACCACCCAGCCACCATCCCAGCCTCTCGTGGTGTGGGGAGTAGGGTGGGTTCTAGGCAGGGGCTCTACCACTGAGCCACACCCCAGCCCCTCACTGGGAGATTCTAGGCAGGGGCTCTACCACTGAGCCACGCCCCCAGCCCCTCACTGGGGGATCCTAGGCAGGGGCTCTACCACTGAGCCACACCCCAGCCCCTCACTGGGGGATTCTAGGCAGGGGCTCCACCACTGAGCCACACCCTATCCCCTCACTGGGGGATTCTAGGCAGGGGCTCTACCACTGAGCCACGCTCACTGGCTCATCCTCCCGAGCCCCAGCTGTCCAGGCCTCCCTCACCTGCCGGAATGCCTGATTCCCCTGGGCTTTCCTTCCCTGTACCCCTTTGCCATCGCTTCAGACCTTTCTTGCTCCCCATCGCGTGGCCTCCCCTCCACCCACTGTCCCTCGGTACCCACCCAGCTGTGGCTCTCTCCGCGCCAGGCCACGCCCAGCAGGATAAGCAGCAGAGCAGAGACAGTGGCTGGCTTCATGGTTCTGCTCTGGTATAATGAGTCCCAAGCCTCCTGCCCTGGAATTTTATCCTAGGGAGACCCCTCCCACTCTGCTCCTGCAGTGACTCATAGCTTCCCGTCACTCCCATTCCACCCATCTCAGAGTTGCATAAACCAAAGAAAGCGGGCAGGGAAAGGTGTCCTCCCTTATCAGGGACAACAGGAAACCAGGACAGGGACATCAGCAAGCCATCCATCCGTCAAGGGACTGCCAGACCCGAGTCCCCAAAGCTCAGCTGCCTCACCCCAAAATGCCCAGCCCCTTACCTCAATCTGTTTCCAGTTGAAGAAAGGAGTGTTGCGTTTGAAATTCTGGAAGGAGAAGTAGAGATGAGAACATGCCCACCACGGTGCCAGAACTCAGACAACACTCTGGGCAGGGCGCCAGGTGGCTGGGGGGAAGGCCAGGTGTGGCTTGAGCTTGGGTGAAGACAAGCTTGCGGGAAACTGAGGGTGCTGGAGTCTGAGATAGTGTCGGGGATAAAATATAATGAGGTGGCCTATCTCAAAGATGAAAAGAGTCATCAGGTGTGGCGGTGCGCACCCCAAGCCCCTGCACTCAAGAAAGACAAGACGAGTTCCAAGCTAGCCTGTGTTCCACAGTGAGTTCAAAGCCAGCCTGGGCTAGCTAGCAAGTTCAAGGTCAGCTAGGGGTTCATAGTGAGATTCCCCCTCTCAAAACCATAAAATAACAGTGAAGAATAAAAGGAGCGAGGAGCTGGGGATGTGGCTTAGTAACAGTACAGAGCTCTGTGTTCAATCCCCAGGACTGCAGAAATGGCACAGACCCCCCCCCCAAAAAAAGGGACAGGGTTTGGGCTAGGTGGGCAATAGCGTTCTGAGGGAGAAGGGGTGGGCGTGCCGGCCAGGGTCCCCAGGTCTTTGCAAAGTGGGACTTCTCCTACCTCCCAGAGTCTGCGGAAGTAGAGTAAAGCTCTGGTGCTGGGAGGCGGGAGGCGGCCCTGTGAACAAAAGACGGGGAACAGGTTAGCAGGGAGCCCGCCACTGCTCACCCAAAGCCCTGCGTCCCCTCCTGCCTCCTTTCTGCCTTCAGAGACGCCTTGTAACTACTGTGTGCAAAGGATGCTGGGATTCCCTGGGGACACCAGAACCTGGAAACAGGAGACTGCCTAGGTGTCCGTGCTGCATCCGCCCCGCGCCTAGCTCTGTTCCTCTCCTTGGTACAACATGACTATCAAGAAGCCCTCAGGACCCAGGGCTACCACAGCCGCCAGCACATCTCCCTGCCCCCTCCCAGGACACCAGTGAGACGAAGAAAGGAACGGAGACCAGCAGTACGGGACAGCTATGGTTTATTTCCAGGGGGCGGGGTGAGAGTCGGGGTGGGGAAATGGTGGGACTCCCATCCAGCTGGTAGCTCCTCATCTGGTGCTCATGGTTTGTGAGAGCTCCCTTTGTCCTGAGCAGAGAAATGGGTTCTAAGAGGAAGCTAGATGAGGGGGTATCTCAGGGAAGTAGTGGGTAGGGAAGGACTCTGCTCTTAATTCTGCATGGGTCTTTTAAGATCACTCCACACAATCGCTGGCGTGCTTGGGTCCCTCATCCTCCTCCCACTGGGGAAGACTGGAGCTGGGTGCCCTGTCCTGCCCAGCTCTGCCTACCACTTTCTTCCAGACTGACCCGCTGGGAGCCCAGTCCCTGTGAATCCACCTAGCTAGCATTCCCCAGGTGGGCAAAAATGCTTGACACAGTGCCAGCCTGTGCCCTGGTCTCCTAGGGGACCCTCAGTCCCCCCAAGGACCACAGCAAGGAGGCTTGCTGCACCAGAAGCTATTTTCTTAAAAAACAGACCTTTCTTTCCAGGCATGGTGGCACATGCCTGGATTCCCGGCACTCAGGAGTCTGAATCAGGACTGAGTCAGCCCAGGTCTGAGGGACACCTGGGCTACCTAGTGAGTTTAAGGCTAGCCTGAGCTACATTGGGAGGCTCTGTCTCAAAGCTAAATAATAAAGTAAAAAAATAAAACGGAATTTATTTTGTTTCTTTAAACCAGAAATGCATTGCAACTGGGAAACACCCATATTTCATACTTTTGCCTTATCCCGCAGAGGTTACATAGGATTTCCTGACGTTTACAAATTCCATTCCCATGTCCCATGAAGACCCCAAGTCTTGGGAAGGATGTTTTAGGATAAGGGTTAAAATTTTAGCAGCTCAAAGGGCCAATCAGGTGGCTGGGATGCTTGGCAGACAGGGTCAGGGAGAGCAAGGGTTCACAGCACACAGGGGGCCCACTTTGTCCCACGGAAAGGGGTCCCAGAGAGGCCAAATCTTTCAAGATGAGCCAGACACCTAAGTCATCAAGTGATGTCATCCAATTTTTAAAATTTGGCGAGTAAGTCATATTCTTTTTTAGTTTTATTTTTAATGTGTCTTAGTGACTCATGAGAAGACCACCCCGGTCTTCTGGGTGTGTAACTGTCATTTCTTATCAACCTCGAACTTTCCTGAGCTTGGTGTCTCAGGCCTGTCATTGAAGCTACTCAGGAGGCCGAGGCAGGAGGATTATGAGTTCAAGGACTGCCTTGACAACTTAGTGAAAACCCATCTCAAAATAAAAAGTTAAAAAAAAAATGCTAGAGAGTTGACTCAGTGGTAGAGCCTGTGCCTAGAATCCCCCAGTGAGAGGCTGGAGCATGGCTCAGTGGTTGAGCTGCTTACCTAGCACTGGTAAAACTGGATTCAGTCCCCAGCTCTATACAAAAGAGATTAGGCAGACTGAGTAGGCACAATTCTTGGGAATGTGCTGAATGAGGAGTTGCGTGGACCTACAAGGCCATATGTGGACTGAAAAACCCAGAGAGACGGGAAAATGGACAGAGGTGTGACAGATGTGTCAGGCTTAGGAGTGACCCTGCTCATGTATAATTCTCACAGCTGGGGCAGATAAACCCTTTCTTCTTCTCCTCACCCTATCCATCCCTATCACAGTGGAAGTCCCTGGCCAGCAGAGTCTGACATCATGATAGCTTGATGGGAAATGAGAGGATGAAGGACAAAGAAAAAATTCCCCAGGTAGAAATAGTGACTGTGGATGACAGATGTGCCTGCTCAGACCACTTTTTAAAAAAGCAGTCTTGGAGTTTATTTTCCATTTTTTAAAAAAAATGTTTACTTTTTTAATTTTTAAATTTTGTTATTTGTGTGTCTGTCTCTGTGTGTTGGGGAGTGGTACCCATGGAGGCCAGAAGAAGGCGTTGGATCCCTTGGAGCTGGAGTTACAGGCAGTTGTAAGCTGCCTGGTGTGGTTGCTGGGATCTGAACTCTGTCTGCTGCAAGAAAACTGAACCATCTCTCCAGCCTTAATTTTAGTTTAAGGAATTTTTTTTTTTCAATGCTTGGGATTGAACCTAGGGCTAAAAGACAGCCAGACAAAATGCTCTACCTCTGAGCCACACCCTCAGCCCCTCACTGGGGGATTCTAGGCAGGGGCTCTACCACTGAGCCACACCCCAGGCCCTCACTGGGGGATTCTAGGCAGGGGCTCTACCACTGAGCCATGCCCCAGGCCCTCACTGGGGGATTCTAGACAGGGGCTCTACCACTGAGCCACACCCCCAGCCCCTCACTAGGGATTCTAGGCAGGGGCTCTATCACTGAGCCACACCCCAGTCCCCCATTGGTAGTTTCTAGGCAGGAGCTCCACACTTTCAATTCAGACCTTCACTGATGCATTTTAACTATGAGATATCATCTCTTCAATTTGCCCCAATCAGGCTATGAACTTACTCAGTAGTCCAGAGTGACATTGAATTTGCTAACCCTACTGGGCTTTCTTCCCAAATTTCCAAGATGGCAAACCTGTACCTCACAGGTCTAAAGGGGAGAGGCTGAGGCTGAGGAGTCACCTGGTTCTTTACCTTGAGAGTGTAAAGACACTCATCCCCTCTGCTCATTGCCAGCACCCAACAATTTCCCAACTCATCCTATCTTTCCAGGTTTCCATTGGCTCACCATTTGTAGATCCATTTGGTTTCAGCATTCACCTGAACACCCTAGTAGCCATCATTACTATCCCTCCCTCTGCCTCACCATGAAGAAGTCTAGCTCTCCTCTCTCTGGTCCTCTGCTCTCAAATCATCAGTGGCATGGCCTTCTGGCCCTTACCTTGTTTATAGCATCCCAGTTAATGAAACCCATCTTGGATTTAAAATTCTGCAGAGAAAACAAAAAGAAATGCCCAAATCATATCAAGAAGCAATGTTTGGCTTTTGTTATTGTTGTTATTTATGTTTGGGGCTAGAACAGGTCAAGCGCTAAGCTGGAGAGATGGCTCAATGGTTAGGAGCACTGGCTGCCTTTCCAGAGGATCTGAGTTCAATTCCCAGCACCCACATGGTGGCTCACAACCCATCTGTAATTTCCAGTTCCAGGAGATCTGATGACCTCTTCTGGCCTCTGCTGGCCCCATGAGGTGCCCAAACATATATGCAGGCAAATCACTCATATGCTTAAAATAAAAATAAGGTTTAAAATGTTTTAAATAGAAGATCAAGGCCGTGGCTTTCTCTTGGGATGTGGAGGACGGAGGAAGTGGGGTTGCTTCTCCTAAGGGGACCCAAGCAGGCTTTCAAAACTTACCTCCCAGAAATTGTCGAAGTTGAAGGGCAAGGAAGACGCATCAGAGTTCTGTGGAGTGGATGAGAAATGGCAGGGGGTTAAGAGTCCACTTTGTGAGCATGAGGCAGAGGCAAGGGGTGTGGGAGTCAGGAAGGAACAAGGCGCAGGTGTGGAGTGAGACCTCCACTCACCACAGCTTTGAGTCCACTGACAGCCTCATTGCGTCCGTCATCCCCACTGGACCCATGCTCCTGGGTACAAGAAAGGAAGCCATGTTCAAGGCTCTTGCTCACTGTCACTATCCCAGGCCCAGCCATCTCCTCCACTGACCCTGCGTCTCTCCTCCTCACCATAGCCCTGTCTCTTCTTCCTCCCACCCCTGATCTCCCAGCTCAAAAAGATGAAGACTTCAGCCACACAGCTGACCCGCTCTCTCCGTAGCCCAGGCTGGCCTTAAACTTGCAGCGGTCCCCCTTTGTCAGCCTGGCGGGTTTACAGTGGTCCACCAATGTGCCCGACTGCCTTGGTTCTGCCTCCATTCTCCTCCGCCCTACAAAGACCTGAAAATGATGGCACCGCATGTGTTCCCACTGTGCGCCAAGCACTACAGCATAGGATGTATTTGAGATGACTTCATGTCTCCAGTAATGGCCAACAGGCAGGATCTGGCTCTGCCTGCCTGGACCCTGCATCACCTTGGTTTGACCATGATACAGAAAAGTCTATAGTAGCTATGGAAGACGAGCCGGTCAGAGTTCACTGTCCCTTCTTAGGCAAGGGAGCCAGACTCAAAAGATGTCAGTTGACTTGTCTGAAAAAGCATAGATAGTGGGGACCTGACTGAACCATCGGTATATCCGACTTCTCAATACGTACTTGCTAAGCACATCGAAATGTACATAAGTGTATGTATGCGTATGGGTGTGTATATATAGATACATACATGCATGCATATTCCCTTGATCTCTATTGGAGTGGGAATCACTGGGGATTGAACCTAGAATCTCACATATGTTGAGCAGGTGCTGTATCACTGAGCCACGCCCCAGCCCCTCACTGGGGGATCCTAGGCAGGGGCTCTACCACTGAGCCACTCCCCCAGCCCCTCACTGGGGGATTCTAGGCAGGGGCTCTACCACTGAGCCACGCCCCAATTCTCTTTTACTTTTTAAGATAGCATCTCTCTAAATTGCCCTGACTGGCCTTGAACATACTCGTCTTTGAATTTACAACCCCCCTACCGCATCCTCTCCAGTAATTGGGAGTATAGATCTTGCCCCCAGGCCTGATCTCTGTCCTTTTTCTGTTGCTGTTGTCTGATTTCCCACTTGCCATCAATTATGGCTCTGATCCCAAACGGAAGGAAGAGAGGAAGCAATGGTAGAGGAGGAGAGGGAGATCCCCGCTGCCATTTTGTTTTCCCGGTAGTCACTCATCTGTTTAAGAGCAGCTTAGGAGAAGAAATAGGTATTTTTGTCTCTTGACATTCTGTCCCACTCTCCACCATCCCTCCTGCTAAGCCACCCTGGCTGTCTGTCCCCTGACTTACCTGGTAGTCATGGGGACCCCCAAGGAGCCGGCTGCTTTCTCTACTTTCCTATGGAGACAGACATGAAGTACAGACGTCAGTTTAAGAGGAGAGGGCAGGACAGGGGTGCAGGGGTGGAGAGACGAGTGTGGACCGTGCCTGTTCTCCTGTGTGACCCGGTGACTGCTCACTTATGCCTGCTAATACATCACCATCTGCTAAGACTCATTTCTCCAGAACTCGGAGAGAAGCACCGATGCCACTAAGTCATCTGAATCTTCCCCCGGCCAGGCTGCTGGACTAAAGTGACGGACCAGAAACTCCAGATGGGCTGGTGTCTGTACCCAGCAGAAAGGGAGTGGCAGTTGGCAAGCCCGTGGGTCCCTGTGGCAGGTGGTATGCGGCTTAGCCACCTCCTAAACTGGAGATCAGCATCTCCATTGTTTGCTGCTCCCCATCCCCAGAACTAGCTGGGATGTGGGATCCCTGCCCTGCTAGCATTGCTACTAAAGATCAGTGGCTACTGTTTCCTTTGCAAGCAAAGTATCTACTCTCAAAGGCTGCTGTCCCCCTGCCCTGATGTCCCCTGGGACCTCTGAGACCTCCCTGCTCTCTGCTAAAGTACCATAACAGGAAGAAAAGGAGAAAAAAATTTATGTAAATACTAGAAAATAATAGAGGCATTTAAAACAATACACCACTGGCAACGGCCATAGAAACAGCCATGATGTTGCTGATTCTCTTTTTTGCCCCTTGCCCCTTGCCCAGTGAGGTCTGCATCCACCAGGACCCACCCAGCCCAGCAGCTGCAGCCTCTCCAGGGAACGGATGAGAATCACTGAGTCCCAGCCCCACCCCAGATCTGCTGGCTCAGCCTGCATTTGCACAAGACGTCTAGGTGTGGACATGAGTGTCACACTTACTCAGCCAGCGTCACTGTGGGTGCTGACCCCAGTGCCCAGATTTCCAGAATAACTAGGAAGGTGTGTGAATACGCTACTTCCCTACTAGAGTTCAATGGATTCTGGTCACTGGCCAGGGATGGGACATTTGACATGACTGTCTCTAAAATGGCCTGACAAAATACTAACAGTGGGCATGGTGGTGCATGCCTGTAAGTCTGGCACTCAAGAGACTGAGGCAGGAGCATCAAAAGTCTGAAGTTAGCCTGGGCTTGAGTGAGAGCCTTTCTAATAAATAAATAAATGGTTCAAGGCCATTCTGAACTGACCACATTAGTAAGCTCTTACAGAAGAAAGAAGGAAAGAAAAAAAGAAAGAAAAGAAAAGAAAATGAAAGCTAGTTCCAAGGGAGAACACTTGCCTAGAATTCAGCACTGAGGAGCTGGGAAGGGCATGGCTGCTCAGCAGTTAGAGCACCTGCCCACAATCCCCTAGTGAAGGGCTGGGCTCAGTGACACATGAACAAGGCCACAGTTCATTCCCTGGCAGCGCGCGCACACACACACACACACACACACACAGTCACGCAGTCACGCACACACGCACACTGAAGGAATGCTGTCCTGCTCTCCACTGTGTCTTTGGAGACTTGGCATTGCAGGGGTCTATGTTTGGGTTCCCTCCAAGGGTTGGATGGAGGCTGAACTGAGTGGGCTCCTGAGGCCACAGCACCGTCACAGTGACGAAAGCCTGGCACTGTACCCGTGACTTTGGCTCTCACCTGATTCCTAGATCCTCCGGATGTGCGCACATCATCCCCTGGGTTGTCACACTGTGGAGCAAAGAATTTTTTCTCAGTCTCCCACTCATCTACGATCTCGGCCCCCACGACAGCATAGTAATCAGCTCCCCTTGGGAGAGAGCAATGCCCCCCCTTCCGCCACGTTCAGCGAGCCCAGCTCTGACCTTTCTCCCAGCATCCCTGTCACTCACCTCAGGTCTGTTTCCACCGCCACTTCCGCCTCGGCTGCCCGAGGACGAGCCACTTCCCTGCAAGGAAAGAATCAACATCATGTCTTAAAAGTGTGTGCAAGGGGACCCAGGAGTTCCCAGGCACCTCCATTCCTTCCTCGCCTTTCGGTAGCTGGTCGCTAGAGGCTATTGAACTTCAGTGAAAGCGGGCCAGGTGCGGCCCGGGGTTTGGAAATACACCGCGACCTTGGGAGTCTGAGCTGTTAGTTAGCTCTCCAACACACACACACACACACACACACACACCATACACACATACACACACGCACACACACACACACACACACACACACACACACACACCACCATGATTTCAGGGGATGTTGATGGCAAGTAAAAGACACCCAACCCATATTGACTCTCTCTCTCTCATATGTGTGCACACACATGCACACACACACACACACACACACACACCACATGCACACAACTATAAGAAGCTGCCACTGGGGTTTAGACTGAAGAGATGGCTCAGAGGACGAGAGCACATGCTCTTCCAGAGGACCTGAGTTCAGTTCCCAGGACTCATGTTGGACGGCTCACAACCCCTGTAACTCCAGCTCCGGGGACTGGTAAGTCTGCCCACCATGGACGCCTGCCCTCACGAGCATGTCCCTACATACACATACACACCTCCCTCATAAACTGTTTAAAAGAAGCTGCCACTAGGGACCAGGATAGGGCCTGTTCCACCCAGCCCTTCCTTATGTACCCTTTCTTACAAAAAAAGGAAGAGGGGACCCTACAGTCCTTACCCTGGAGACTGAATAGCCTTCATCAAAATTAGACGTCTCCACGTCCTGAATGGAGAGAGAGGGCACTCTCAGACTCTGCACACAAAGCCTCTGGCGATGTCAACAGCGCCTTTATTGTTTATTTATTCACGTAGCCCAGGATAACCTTGAACTCATTAGGTAGCCATGGATGACCTTAATGCCTGATCCTGCCGCCACCCTCAGGGAGTTCGGATGCCAGGAGTGTGTCACCACACTTGCCTCGTGTGGAACTGGGGTGGAACCCAGGTCTTTGTACCCACTAGACAAGCACTGTCTACCCACCGAGCAGCAGCAGCTCCCATACTTACCTCCTTTGACTGGTACCATTCTTAGAGCCCTAAGGACACTTGAATGGGCAGTTTGGACAGCCTCTCTTAGAGCTCATCTCTCAGGTGCACCCTTCCAGCTCTTCCACCCAACACGTGGGGGCCTCGTGTGTGCAGAGTTACCACAGCTGTCCTTAAGTCTCCATGGGGACACCCACCCCACCCCTGCTCTCCCCCGAAACATCCCAAACGAGTGGGAGTGGTCCTTGTTTGCTGCATTGTTTCAAACAGAGCCCTGGCTGGCCTCAAACTCACAGCAATCCTCCTGCCTCAGCCTTCCAGCTGGAGAGAACAATATTATCCTATGCCTACCCGTCTTCTTCCATCCCCTCATCCTCAGCAAAGAGTAAAGGTTAGACCTGAGCCAAAGCTATCCCACCATGGCAGCGTGGACAGGGAGTAGGCAATGTAGAAAGTCAGCGCCCCCTAGTAAGGAACCCTGTAATTACAGCTGAGAGGGTGGAGAGCCAGGGCTGAAGGAGTCCCAGGATAGCCACTGTCACTGAACCCACCCACGAGGGCTATGACAGCTTTAAGGGAAACCCCAGAGCCTGGGTCCTCACCACCAGGACCATCACCCCATCGCCAGGAAGAAACTTACCCGGGATCCAGAACCGCCGCTGCTGCCGCCGCCGCCGCCGCCGCTGCCGTTACCTTGGCTACCACTGCCTTGGCCACCGCTGCTGTGGCCACTGTGGCCACTGCTGCCGTGACTATTGCCACTGCTGCCACCGTGATTGCTGCCACCGCTGCTGTCATGGCCACCACTGCTGCTGCTTCCCTGTGGGGCAGCAGAACAGAGCAACAGCTACGGACAGGGGCCCTGCGCTTGTCCTTGCCCCCTTCCTCGGCCCAGCATAGCCTCAGCCCATCTAGAAAGCGGTACACCCCAGCCTGCTTCCCAGCGCTGAGCCACAGGCCACGCCTCCTCTTACCCCAGAGTTGCTTTCGCGGGAGCCAGACGGTGGGGGGTTGGTACACTATGAATGGAAGGGGACCCCATGAGGGCAAAGATGTCAAAGCCACCTTCACAGGCCAGGCCTATCTTGGCTTCCCCATGGCCTTCCAGTTCCCTCCTTCTTCCCTGGCCTGCGACCTCCATCCCTTCCCCGCCCCTTCCTTTCCTCCTTGCCCCTCCCCTGTTCTGTCGTGTGCATCCAGGCACCCTTGGCCTCTATCTTACCCCTGAGTTTTGGTTGTTGCTTCTCACTGACCCGTAGCCAGGCTGAGCCACGGCCCCCTGCAGGGAGGGTGAAACCCAGTTTAGGATCCAGAGGGTGAGGAAGCGGTGGGGAGGGCAGGGTGAGGAATGGATCTGGGTGGCGACTTTACCTGAGCATTGGCCTCATAGTTGAAGGACCTGCCGTCGCCACCCTGACCCAGAGAGCCTCCCAGAGAGTTGGTTCCAAAGTTGCCTTCTGAGGCCCAGGGAGTCCCTTGACCACCGGGATTGCCATGGCCTCCAACACCACCTTGAGAGCCAAACATCCCATGGCCTCCAGATGTCCCCTGAAAGGACAATACACCCATCTTTAGTGTGCCCAGTTCTGACAATCATAAGAGAGAGGGGACCAGCATAATGGGGGGGGAAGAGGAGGGGAGAGAGAGAGACTGCAGTAGACAGAGATCCATGATAAGGAAAGAAACGGTCCCAGGAAGCCACCAAGGAACCATCTGCTCAGCCTTCGACCCACTTCTCAAGGTTCTTGCCCCAGTCACCCTCAGTCCCTACAGCACTCAGCTTCCCCAACCACTCACCCAAGACCCGGAGTTGCGGGCAGCGTCTATCCCACGTCGAATGACATCCTCAGCCTGTCGGCCAACCTCATTGCCAGCGTTGCCCAGAGATCGCGCTGCTTCCCCAAGCCTGTGGTCGAAAGCATCCCCTCTGGCCCCTCTCAGTGCATAGCCACCTTCCTCTCCATGCCCCTGACCAAGGGCATCCTGGATTCCAGAGCTGGCTGCTTCTTTAGCCCCTTCGCCCACAGCCTCTCCAACTCCGTGGCTAATGGCATCTCCCATTCCTTGTGAGGCACTTGCTCCTGCGCCCTCTCCTCCATTCTGCAGTGGGCTAGCTGCCCCGCTGCCCAGACATAGGGTCAGCAGGAGACAGGCCAGGGACCCCCGTAGCTTCATCGCTCCCCTGGGGATCTTTGAGACCCGATCTGTTTCTTGTTACCTTCTCTCTTCTTCTGGACTCTGGGACCTCCTGCCTTTCTTTCTCTGCTTACTTGCTCTACCTCTGCCTTCTCTCTTTGTTCCCAGACTCCTCTGCTTTCCAGAGTGTTCCTTCTTGCCACTACCCCTTATACTGTAGGCTGGGAGAAGCTAACAGGGCTGGGCAGCCCAAGATCCCTCCTCCAGTGACTCAGGGCCTATCCAGCGATAGGGTAATGAAGCTTAATTGTGAGTGAGAGCCTGTGTTGAAACAGAGAGAGCCGGACATCAGGGAGGGAGGGGGTTAGGATGAGATGGATGCAAAGGTGTTCCAGTTGCCTAACCCCAGGAATTTGGGGCACAGGGTGGGGATGAGAGCATCTGAGGAGAGAGATGTCCTCTGGAGGTGGCAGGGTGGGGGCACTTAGGAACCAGGACAGCCAAGGAGGTGAGACCCCAAGGGTATAAGGAGATAGGGAGCCCACCAAGTAAGCCAGCATGCTCAGGGACACGAAGACAGGAGGGAAGTGACCTTTTGGTCCCTTCTTAAGTTCAGTGGGCATTCCCTGCCCCCACCTCTCCCCTAACCTAGCACACCTCCTCCTTCCGGTGACTGTCCTTGCAATCCCCACAGCTCAGGAGACATTGGGAACTCTGGGGCTGCCGTTAAGTTCTGAGGTCCTGGGGACCCTGGTGTTGGAGGAGTTGAACACCTCTGTGAGTGGCCCAGCAAGGAAGGGTTTGGGCAGCTTTCATTGAGAGTTCAAGGGCCCTGGGTGTGGAACAGGGGAGCTGGGCGGGTCAGCCACCCCCAGGGGAAGAGTAGGCGGGAAAGACCAAGGGAGGAAGAAGCTGACCCAGACACCCATCCTGTTTACACGGATGGAGGGCCATGTGTGTCTGTAAGCGTTCACAGACACTGTGCGGCTCACTTGCTACCTGCTGCCTTCCCCAGGGGAGGAGGGGTCAGCACAAGATCACCCTCAGTCACAGTTCCAGTGGGGAACCCGGGCACCCTCCCCACAGCTCATCCCTGTTTGACAAGTGTGACTGCTTCTCTGTCCCCAGGGGCACCGGGTCCTCCCACTTGGAACTGCCTTGTGTCACTGGCTGCATCACCTAGCTAGGAGGGGCCAGTTTCCATCTGCCTTTCTCAATGCCTCTCAGTCTCTCCCCACCCCAACACCCGCACCCTAACTTGTAACATTCAACGCTTCTCTATGTATAAGCACCATTCCTGACTGTCCCCCGCTCCCCCGCCCCCACCCCCTCCCCCATGTTCCATTTGCTGACACTTAGTTATAATCACAGCTCCAGCTTGTCAAAAGCCTCCTATGTGTCCAGGTTCTGTATGGTCAGTCACCCAGCCCCGAAAGACGGCTCTTTTTATTACCTCCATTTAGACATGTAAGACACTGTGGCTCAGAGAACACAGAGGGTCTACAGTGGAAGCAAGGCCCAAGCCCAGACCTGCCTTTGGCAGAGCCTTGTCTGTCACTCCAGTGTGTCACACCAACCCTTTCTTGTCTGGATGGAATTAATTTTGATCTTGCTCTGGAGCTATGCAGGAAGAGGGGGTGCAGAAGGAAATCTGAGTCCCCAGGATGAGTGACAGAGCCTCCAGTCCCTGGGTCCACCGATCCCACTCACAGGCTGGGTAGAGGAGGAACACTCCAGACAGAGCGCTCACTGACCCCAAAGCTCTTTTGTGGCCGCCTTGGCCAGGCTTCACGCGCCGGGTCCTGCACAGGTGCCCGGTCCTGCACACATGCCCATGTCGCCTCTCCATCAATGCCTGCTTTCTCTGTAGCAGCTTGCTTTCTTTCTTAAGACTGTCATAGGAGCCTGGCATGGTGGCACACATCCCAACACTTGGAAGTCCAGTCAGGGAAATCATGAACTCAAGGCCAGCCTAGGCTACATAGCAAAACCCTCCCTATCTCAAACAAACAACAGCAGCAAAGAACATTAGAAAACACTTGACGGGTTGGCAAGGTGACTCACTTGCCACCAAGGCTAACCGTCAGAGTGTGATCACCTAGCCTTACATGGAGGATTAAAAGTATTTCTCTGACTTCCACACATGCATCATGGGATGTGCACACACAGAGATACATCTGCAAATAATAATAAATAAATAAAATACTTTATATCACTCAAAAATGAAGACATAAGAATCACCTGAATCCTAGGAAGAAATTACCAGAAAAACACAAGAGTAGAGCAAACGGTAACATTGTTTTGTAGCTAGCTACAGTTCCTGGGTCTTCTTTGTTAAAAGGGGAAGTTAGCTGGAGAGATGGCCCAATGATTAAGAGTGCTTGCTGCTCTTCCAGAGGACCTGAATTCAGTTCCCTGCACCTACATCAAATGGCCGTAACTCCAGTTCCAGGGGACCCAGCGCCCTCTTCTGGAGTACATGGCACCTGCACACTTTGGTTACAGTATGTCAAGACTCTCCCTGCTGGCAGGCTCACATAGTGCAGACTACTGGAAGAGAAAATGGTCTTCTCCAGGGTTGGGCCCTGCACTCTGTAGTAACACACTACCATGAAACTTACACACTCCGGGGCAATAGTGGCATCATGGTCATGAGGGTAACCAATCGCTTTCTGATTGAATCTGAGACCTGCTCCACTGGAGGGATTTTGTCTATGGTACTGTAAACCTGGTCAAAAGCCCATGACTTGAGAAGTCATAGACCCTGGGGGGTGGGGGGAGACCTACTGGGGTTGAGCCACTAAATGATCATGGTGTCAAACTACCTTCTTAGTCTTTATGTTTATAATCATAGGGTTTGATGCTCTCAACTTTGATTGGAGAAGCTCTTTTTGCAGTGGGCGCTGGTTAATACAGAGACTCAGGACTGGTCAGTATGCTGAGAATAAGGGACTGTGGGTGTTCAGCCATAGATGGGTCACCAAACCAGCATCCCACGTTCAAGGCTTAGGGAACACATCTGAAGAGCAGGTGCAAAGACGTGGAGGGTGGGGAGGGGAGCTGGGAGACCCTGACTGCTGAGCATGGGATGACCGTGGTGCACATGAATTCACAGCAGCCGTGGTTGCCTACATAAGACCTGCACGAGATCAAGGGACGCAGCATTCCAGCATGGACTTCTGAGGCTCCGCCCCTAGCTGAGGAACTGTTGGAAGCTGACGGCTTCTTTTTTATTTTTATTTTTTTCACTTATATCTTTGTTTTTATTTTTTAATTTTTTAATTTATTTTTTACATTCAAATCCAAGTTCCTCGTTCCTCCTGCCTCCTCTCCTCTCATTCCTCCATCCCACCCCCCATCAGCTCCTCAGAGAAGGTAAGGCTTCCCCTAGGAAGTCTACTAAGTCTGTCCCATCATCTCGTTGAGGCAGGACCAAGGCACCTCTCCACCCCCACACCCCTGTGTCTAGGCCGGGCAAGGTATCTCCATGTAGAATGGGCTCCACTAAGTCAGTTTGTGCATTAGAATTAGATCATAGATCACTGCCAGTGGCCTCATACATTGCTCCAGCCACACCATTGTCACCTATATTAAGGGAGTCTAGTTCAGTCTTATGCAGGTTCCCCATTTGTCAGACCTGAGTCAGTGAGCTCTCACTAGCTCGGGTCAGCTGAATCTGTGGGTTTCCCCATCATGGTCTTGACTCCTTTTTCATATTGTCGCTCCTCCGTGATTGTGATTGTACTCCAGGAGCCTGGCCCAATGGTTAGCTGTGAATTTCTGCATCTGCTTCCATCTGTTTCTGGAAGAGGGTTCTAGCTTCTCTGTGTTGTAAATTGTAGGCTGAGTATCTTTTGCTTTATGTCTGGTATCCACTTGCGAGTAAGTACATATTATATTTGTCTTTCTGGGTTATCTTACCCAGGATGGGTTTTTTTTTTTTTTTTTTCTAGTTCTGTCCATTTGCCTGCAAATTTAAAGATGTCATTGTTTTTCACAGCTGAGTAGTACTCCATCGTGTAAATGTACCACATTTTCTTTATCCAGTCTTCGGTTGTGGTGCATCTAAGCTGTTTCCAAGTTCTGTCTATTATGAATAATGTTGCTATGAACAGAGTTGAGCAAATGTCCTTGTGGTATGAGTGTGCATCCTTTGGGTACATGCCCAAAATTGATACTTCAGAGTCTTGGGGTAGGTTGATTCCTAATTTTCTGAAAAATCTCCATACTGATTTCCCCAGAGGCTGTACAAGTTTGCACTCCCACCAGCAGTGGAGGAGTGTTCTCCCTTCTCCACATCTTCTCTAGCATAAGCTGCCATCGGTGTTTTTGGTTTCAGCCATTATGATCTGTGTAAGATGGTATCTCGGAGTTGTTTTGATTTGCATTTCCCTGATGACTAAGGATACTGAGCATTTCCTTAAGTATCTTTCCACCATTTGAGGTTATCCTGTTGGGAATTCTCTGTTTAGATCTGTGCCCCATTTTTTGATTGGATTATTTGGTAGTCTGATGTCTAGTTTCTTGAGTTCTTTGTATATTTTGGAGATCAGCTCTCTGTCAGATGTGGAGTTGGTGAAGATCTATTCCCATTCTGTAGGGAGCCATTTTGTCTTGTTGATTGTGTTCTTTGCTTTGCAGAAGCTTCTCAGTTTCAGGAGGTCCCATTTATTGGTTGCTGCTCTCAAGAGTCTGTGCTACTGGTGCTCTATTTAGGAAGTGGTCTCGTGCCAATGTATTCAAATATATTTCCCACTTTCTCTTCTATGAGGCTCAATGTGTATGGATTTATATTGAGGTCTTTGATCCATTTGGACTTGAGTTTTGTGCATAGCAGAAGATACAGATCTATTTGCATTCTTCTACATTTTGACAGCCAGTTATACCAGCACCATTTGTTGAATATTTTTTTTCCATTTTGTATTTTAGGCATCTTTATCAAAAATTAAGTGTTCATAGGTGTGTGGGTTGATATTGGGGTCTTTGATTTGATTCCATTGGTCCACCTGTCTGTTTTTATGCCAATACCAAGCTGTTTTTATTACTATAGCTCTATAGTAGAGCTTGAAGTCAGGGATGGTGATGCCCCCAGATGATTCTTTATTTTACAGGGTTGTTTTGACTATCCTGGGTCTTTTGTTTTTCTATATGAAATTGATTATTGTTCTTTCCAGGTCTGTGAAGAATTGTGCTGTGATTTTTATTGGAATTGCATTGAATCTGTAGACTACTTTTGGTAAGATTGCCATTTCCACTATATTAATTCTACCTATCCAAGGACATAGGAGATCTTTCCATTTCCTGATGTCTTCTTAATTTTCTTTCTTTAAAAGACTTAAAGTTCTTGTCATACAGGTCTTTCACTTGTTTGCTTAGAGTTACCCCAAGATCATTTATGTTGTTTGTGGCTATTATAAAGAGTGATGTTTCTCTGATTTCTTTCTCAGCCTGTTTACCATCTGTATATAGGAGGGCTACTGATTTTTCTTTTTCTTTTTTTTTTAAGTTAACCTTACATCCTGCTACATTACTGAAAGTGTTTATCAGTTGTAGGAGTCCCCTGGTAGAATTTTTGGGGTCACTCGTGTAAATGTATCATCAGCAAATAGTGAGATCCAGTCACTTTTCATTGGAATGTGGTCACTGGTAGGTTGCCCATTCTCCCAGCAGATGGCTCCACCATAACCATTTGCACAGGGTCAGCACTGCTGGACTCAGGGGCTACTAACAGTAACAATAACAAAAAGGAGGGAGATGGGTGGTGGTGGGTCCCGGGGGAGTTGAGTGGAGGTAACTGGGTGGAAACAACTAAGATGCTTTGTGTATGTCAGGTCCAAAGGAAACTCCATTTTCTCAAATTCTGGCCATTAGACAAAAGGCAAAATTCCTCATGAATTTGTGAAGCCGGTCGGTCCCCTCTACCAAAGGATCCATTCCTCTTAGAAGGGACAAATGGCTATCTGTGGTGCATGCCTATTAGCATACCAAATTTCACTCTGGCTTCCAGGTTCCTTCAGTATCACAAGTACTTAGTTCTTCTCACGCACACCTCTCATTGGCGCACACAGGCGCGCACGCGCATGCACGCGCGCTCACACACACACACACACACCAGCTGCTCATTTCTCCTTATAACCCTGCTACTGGGGCTACAGCCTCCCTCTTTGTCCTCTCTTTTTTGCCCACATTCTTTCCCCCTGGTCTTTCCCTCACTCCAACCCCCCCCCTCCATCTCTCCCTCTCTACTCTGCTCCTGCGTCTCTCATAGCCAGGTCCAGTCTGCTGGCCAAGTACAGTCTACTCCATTCTCTCTCTGCTCTGGACTCTTCCAGATGCCTCTGGCTGTTCTCTCCCTCATATCTACGATAAAAACCTTAGCCATGCCAGGGAGCTGTCATGTTGTCAATTTATACAGTACATACACGCACGAAATTTTCAAAGTTAACTTTTTGTTCATTTTAATGAGCCTGTATAATGCTGCATACCTGTGACCCCCATCGTTCTGGCTGCTGAGGCAGAAGGGTCCCAAGTTCAAGACCAGCTTGTGCAAACCCCTGCCTCAAAAATGTGGGGGTGGCTGGAGAGGTGGGCAGCTCACAACCATGTGTCACTCCAGTTCCTCGGGATCTGACCCTCCTTTGGCCCCCATGGACATTCCATGCACACGGTGTACAGACACAGTAGCAAACACTTAAGCTCATAAACTAAAACTAAAGGAAACTCCAAAAGGTGTTCGAATTGGACTAGGAGGGTGTCTCAGTGGGTAAAACACTTGCCATGCTATCATGAAGACCAGTGTTCGAATCCCCAGGGCCCATGTAAAGCCAGGCGCAGTAGTGCCCGTCTGTTATCCCAGTGGTCCCTAACCCTAACCCTAACCCTGGAACTCATTATGGAGTACAGGCTAGCCTCAAACTCATGATTTTTCTTCTTGCCTTAGCTCTTCTGCCATGGTGCCAGACAGATGCCACCACACCCTGGCTTATACTTGTGTGGTACCCAGCACACACACACACACACACACGCGCGCGCGCGCGCGCGCGCGCGCGCTCCCCTCCACCCCCGTGGCCTCTTCTCCCTCTGACTGCTTCTCCATCATGTGTGAGGGGGTATTGAGGGTGTCTGCCTCCCTGTACTTGTAAAGATACAATGAACCACGTTTGTAGAGTGTGCAGCACAGACCCAGTAAGGACCCAACAAAGGTGGCTGTGAGCAGTGAGGTCCCGCCCAGATTCCTCACCCTGTTCTTAGGCATCTGCAGAAACCGGCCCCTCCTCTGTCTCCCTGGATCCACCCTTCCCTGCTTCTCCCTTACTCGCATCCCGTGGCCTAGCCCCGCTTAGCTCATGTGTCAGACATCTGGGTCTGCCCTTGACCTCACCACTGGAACTCTATAGGGGAGATGAGTATTCAACAAGGAACACTATGGTATAATTGCAAATTGCCACAGGCGCTATGAAGGACGAGATCAGGGTGTCATGAGAAAGGATGGCTGGTCAAGGCAGCTGTGACCTGAAGGATGAGGAGAAAACATTCCAGCAGAGGGCAGCAAACCCCGCCCCCTCCCAGGAAAGAGCCTGGCCTGTGAGTCACCATGGAATCTCCTTACAAGTACCCTCAGGGCTGCTCTGCAACCAGGTGAGAAAATGTGCATAAGAAATAGTCCATGCAAGGGCTGGTAGAAAGAGAGAATCATCTCTTCCACACTGGCCAAGGCACATGCACACACAAACACATAAGTTCATAAATACAGAAGTAAATAGGTGTAATTTAAGAAATAGCCAATGCAAACTTCTACCTGGTAAAAGAACAGTACCCTTGAATATTGCCTTTGGAAAGCAGGCACTGTAGGATGCCCAGGAAGGACTGGTCCATCACCGTGAGTCTGGCACAGAGTTGGTCACCAAGTGCCTGACATGGCTTTGTTTACCAAAGTGAAGCCCACAGAAGTCTGCAGTGTGCTTTGAAATGCACTTTAAAAAAATGATGATGGCGCATGCCTGTGATCCCAGCAATCAGGACATAAGGGAAGAACGATCAAGAGTGTCTGTTGTTTTGTTGTCACGGTGATCCTTGTTGATTTGAGACGAGGATGGATTGTATAGCCCCAGTTGGCCTTGCACCTGCCCTGATCCTCCTGCCCCCTCCCCCCCACCTCCTGAGCCCTGAGATGATAGGCGTGCACCACTACGCCTGGCAAGGATTGAGAGTTTGAGGCCAATCTGGTCTAAATGGGGAGAGCCTGTTAAAGTAATAATAGCAGTGGTAACAATCCAAATAGTGGCGGTGCAGGGCTTTAATTCCAGCACTCAGGAGGGAGAAGCAATTGGAACTTCTGAGTCCGTGGTCAGCCTGGTCTACAGAACAAGTTCCAGGACAGCCGAGGCTACACAGAGAAGCCCTGTCCCAAAAACAAAAAACAAAACAAAACAATAGTACCACTAATACTACTACTAATAATAATCAAGATGCCTTGGAACCTGAAGGGGATTGCAGCCAAGCCTGGGAACCTGAGTTTGATTTTCAGGCCTCACAGCTGCCTTGACTCCCACGGATTCTCTTCTGACCTATACACGTGGGCTATGGCATGTGCACACCCCCGAACACACACGCAAAGTAAATAAATACATGTTTTTTTAAAGGTTGTTCTGAGGCTAGGCAGACATGTACCTGCTCAAACAAGTTCAAAACATTAATGAGGGAGTCTGGGTGGTGAAATTGCAGCTGTCAATTGTAAATTCTTTTCTTCCTTTTCTTTCTTTTTTTTTTTTCTTTTTTTTTTTTTTTTTTTTTTGTCTAAAACATTTTCAGAATGTTTCAGATGTTATGAAATGACAATACTCTTAAAAAAAAAAAAAAAAAAAAAAAAAAGACAGGGTCTCCCTGGCTGACCTGGATGGAACTCACTCTGTAGGCCAGGCTGGCCTCAAACTCACAGAGATCTGCCTGCCTGGCCTCTAGAATGCTGGGATTACAGAAGAGTTAACTCTTCAACATAAGAGGGGAAAGGGCAGTAAGTGGGAAGCATCTGGGATATTGGGATATTACCTTTATTGTGCAAATGTAGGCTCCTCTGTGCCTGAGGCTGTCTTTTCTTTCAGTGTGTGTGTGTGTGTGTGGGGGGGGGGGGTGACTAAACTACAATCTAGCCTAGGTTTTTCATGGTCTAAAGTCTCCCCGGGGGGAAAAAACAGACAGACAGCAGTCTTTGCCTGCAGACACGCCCACCTGCTGGACACTGGAGGAGGAAATCCTACAGTCTATAGCTTCCAGGAAGCTGCGGCTCTCCTAGCATTCTGTGTGGGCTTCAGCAGTCCCAGAGGCAGGCCTACTGCTTTTGGAGTATGACCAACAGTGTGCCCTCGCCTCGAGGAGTCTCCATGCATACACAGGGGCAATACAGATGTCTGTGCTAGACTGTGAGACAAGGAGGCTTTGAGCAGCCCCCATGATTGACACTTGCTGGCTGTTTGTGTTACCCATGTGCCTGAGCGGTTCCTGAACCCTGGGCCTTTTGCATCCTTACCCAAGTCGCTGAAGAGGCTCCCCCACCCATCTGAGAACCTTCCAGCTGAGTGTGCCTCTCCCTCTTCCCCTGTCTTATCCAGTCTTCTCCCAGTCTCTTGTTTCACCCTCTCCAGTCCATCAGGAGAGGGTTTGCAGGGCCTAGGCTGTTTTTTTCCCCCCTCCACTAACTGCCCATGTGTTTTCCAACCATGCAAGCCTCCACGAGACTCCTTCATACCTGGGGATAATAACAGAACTTTTACCTAATTGGGCGGTCGGAGGATTCGGTGAGATCATGCCTGGAAAGCACCCAGCATGTCTTTATTGCACAACGGACACAAGCTGCCATTGTTTCTTCCTGGGTACCACACATCCCACCAGCGGTTGCTCCCCTGCCCAGCTGCCTTTCCCAGCTGTGAGCACAAACACTGCATCTTAGCCAAGTGTGGCTGGTTCCCCTCTGGGAAGGGCCCTCTTCAAGCCAATCAAGCTGAACTCTCCAGGACTCTCCATCCCATATGGCAACTCCCAGCTCCCAGCTCCTTCTGCCAAGTGAGACCATGCAAGCCCCCACCCCAACCCTGGCCATCCCTCTCTAGGGAGCACAGTCAGCCATGATGCAAGGGGACAGTGTGTTCGTGTTTATTCACAAAGCTCAAAGCAGCCCCTTTAAGGACACCCAGGAAGCTCTCCGCCACCACCCCCAGCTCCTCCAGGCCATTTCAGCTGATGTGACAACAGGAATGTTCTGTTGCCTGGGTATCAGTTTAGGGCATGATGGCGGCGATGCTCTGGAAGAGAGGAGAAGGGGGTTAAATACCGGCCACAGCCATGAGAGGCCTGAAGTCTGGGCTCCTGTTCCACTCTGTAGAAATGAGAGGGAGAGAAGCTGTTTGTCTTAGAATAATGGAGAGCCAGCTCTCCCCAGGAGAGGGGCTGAGGAAGGCCTGTGTGTTCCACCTCAGAGGATCTGATGTCACTCTGATTTAGGGCTGGCACACCCCCTGAGCCCTGGGTCCTTAGCTCCGGAAGCAGTTAATAGCATTTTCTGTTCAATCATGAAGACCAGAGTTTGGATCCCAGCACGCACATCAGGCAGCTTACAAACACCTGTGACTCCAGCGCTAAGGGATCTAACACTCAGAGTGTACAAACACACAATTTCAAGATTTTTTTTTTTTTTTCAAAAAAAGATAAAGCAAGACTGTGGACCCAGAATTCCACAGCGACCTTTATGCTCTCAGCCTGGAAGGGATCTCCCTGCAAAGCCAATTTCCACTACTCAGTTCACCCGTGCAAAGCAGCAGGGCAGGGTACCAGAGGCATTCACAGGAGGGCCAGTGAGAAGAGAGGCATCAAGGCACTCGGGATGGGAGGAGAGATGAGGAGGAGCCCTGATGGACACATGCAGGACAGACAGTTTCTACATCCCCACCCTCCCTGGCTCCCAGATGCTCCAAATGCCCTGGAGGTGATTTCTGTCAGCTTCTGTTTGTTCACGGGGACTGGAAAGTACCCAGAGCTGCAAGTGGGTGACGAAAGACCAGAACAGAGCAAGAACAGGTTGGATAGTCTCTAGAGAGGCTGGGTCGGTCTCCAAGGATGCTGACCGCAAGAAGACTATAGGAAGGGAATTCAAGGTTGAAGGGCAGGGAGTAGGTGGGGATTGTGTGGGCACTTACCCTCCACAGAGCTGGGAAGTTGATAAATGGCTTGTTGACCGAGGCCTGGAATTCAAGCACAAAGCCAGTCACCCACCTTCAATCAACCACCGTCATTGGGAGAACCTCCAGTAGCCTCCAACCCCCTCTCCCAGCTGCAAACCCACGTGACACCCAGAGACTCACCCCAGATGCTACTGTAGTGGTTGCGGCCCCTGCCCCTCCGTGCTGGCCTGAGTACCCGCCTTGATGAGCGCCCTAAAAACAAAGCCCAGATCATCACTACCGCCCCTTGACCTGTGAGGGTCTCCCTCATTCCCTTTCCCCGGGAACCCACCCCCGGTCTAAGATGCCTGGGTCTGGAGCGGGAGCCCAGGCTGACCTTCTGGGTTCCTCCATCACTGTCCTGAAAGACAACCCAGAACCCCAGCTGCTAACCCGGCCGGGAGAGGCGGACAGGACTCCAAGAAGGATGTCTACCTCTTGTCGACTCACCCCACCCAAGCTCTCCTTAAATTCAGCCTTAGGGAAATGTTTCCTTCTTGGAGAAGGAAGAAGACACAGAAGACCCACACAAATACCAGAGCCACCGCTCACCCTCAGCCCTGATTTTTTTAATCATGTTTCTACGCAGTCTAGCCTCAAGCCCAACACCCCTCACCCCTGCTCTTGACCACAGTGTCACTCGGCATAGCCTACCCGGTCCCCCCCCACCCTCAGCTGCTCTCGCCCTTCTCCCAGCCTCTACTTGGACTCTCTCTAGCCCGCCCCCCCCCCAGCCCTCCATGGTTCCCTCCAAGCAGCAGATGTGACTCTGGGCTCTGAGACCTGGATCCACCCATCCTCGGGATGGTGTCCTGGCTCGCTCATCTCAATGACTGCTCATGGAGTGTGGAGAGCTGGAAACCGGGCCACGCAGGGGTCAGCCTGCCACTGCACCCTGGTCCTCCCTGGGGCCTGCTCTGTTGCTGCTTGCCTGGCCTCCAGCATCTGTTCCCTCTAGAAATACGGGTAAGAGCTCCCCGGAAGCTCCCCCCCCCCCCCACCGCCCAATCAGGAAGACAAAGGAACAAAGAGAACTGTATCTCATCCATTGGGCTCTAGTCATGTGACCTTGGAGAGTCCCCTTGGCCTCTCTGAGCCTTAGTTTCCTTATCTGAATGTCATACTGTCACCACCCTCATCCTGACCAGCCCAGAGGCTAGTTACAAGGACAGAACACAACAGAGCCTATTGTTAAGAGTGTCCCCTCGTGCTCTGAGGTTTCTCAGCCCTCCATCTGTTTGTACAGTGTCCGAGCTCAGAACCATCCCTACTTCCAGGAGAGGGACAGGTTAGGGTCCCTCATCTAGGAGGACAGTTCCCTGATAATGGGACTAGGTCCCTTCCACCTTGTCTCAGGCGAAGCTTTGCAAACAAGATGCTTTAGCCCATCTAACCAGCTGGCCACCAGCTCTGTAGCAACGGAGGCGGAAGGAAGGGAACCCAATGTTATGGCTTCCCAAGAATTTAGCCTCTTCCCTCCCACAACCCCCTTCTCCCCAGTTTCCCCACCTCTGTTCACCTACATTCAGCAGCTGGTTGGCCTCCTTGCTGGCTTGGTTGACCCCATTATGAACATCTTGCTGCAACCCGTTCATTTCCTTCCCGGCCTGGCCAGCAGCATGGTGGACACCTTGGCCAAGCTTCTCCGTTTCCTTCTCGGCCTGGCCAGCAGCATAGTTGACCCCTTGGCCAACTTTCTCTGCCTCCTTCTCGGCCTGGTTGACCCCAGTGTGGACCCCTTGACCAACTTTCTCTGCCTCCTTCTCAGCCTGGTTGACCCCAGTGTGGAACCCTTGACCAACTTTCTCTGCCTCCTTCTCAGCCTGGTTGACCCCAGTGTGGAACCCTTGACCAACTTTCTCTGCCTCCTTTCCAGCCCGGTCAATGGTATGGTGGACACCTTGGCCAAATTTCTCCATCTCCTTCTCAGCCTGGTTGACTCCAGGATACATTACTTTGTCTCCCTCTTGCCAAGACTGCCCTGCAGCATAATAACTATGGCCATGACCATGGCCAAACTGCTGAGCCTCTACTGCTGCATGGCTAAGTCCCTGATTGGCCCCTTGTATTACTTTCCCTCCTTCCTTCCCAGCCTGACCAAAGGCATTGTGAACCCCTTGACCAAATCTCTCTGCTTCCTTCCCAGCCTGACCAAAGGCATTGTGAACCCCTTGACCAAATTTCTCTGCCTCTTTCCCAGCCTGACCAAAGGCATTGTGAACCCCATGACCTAACTTCTCTGCCTGCTTCCCACCCTGACCAAGAGCATGGTGGGCCCCTTGACCAAACTTCTCTACTTCCTTTGAAGGCTGACCAAACGCATGGTGACCATCTTGACCAAATTTCTCTGCCTCTTTCCCAGGCTGACCAAAGGCATTGTGAGCCCCATGACCTAACTTCTCTGCCTGCTTCCCGCCCTGACCGAGAGCATGGTGGGCCCCTTGACCAAACTTCTCTACTTCCTTTGAAGGCTGACCAAATGCATGGTGACCATCTTGACCAAATTTCTCTGCATCTTTCCCAGGCTGACCAAAGGCATTGTGAGCCCCATGACCTAACTTCTCTGCCTGCTTCCCGCCCTGACCGAGAGCATGGTGGGCCCCTTGACCAAATTTCTCTGCATCTTTCCAACCATGAGCATTGTGGGCCCCCTGTCCCAACTTCCCAGCCTCATTCCCAGCCTGCCCCGCAACATGGTGGGTCCCCTGAGCAAACCTCCCTGCTTCACTGCCCGCCTGGTTGACCCCATGGTGGACCCCATGATGGATGATTGTGTCTTTCTCCTTCCCAACCTGTCCAGCGGCGTGGTTGACCCCATGGGTTAACTTCTCTGTTTCCTTTTCTGCGTGTCCGATGCCATTGTTGATGCCATGGGATACCTTGTCCAACTCCTTGCCGGCCTGGCTTCCCATGTTGCTAAGTCCATCAAAAACTCTCTCCACTTCCCTTCCAGCTTGAGTGATTCCATTATTGATGCCTTCAAGGGCCTTGCCCACCTCTCTCTCTGCATTGCTCAGCCCTCGGCTGAACCCTTCTATGACCTTCTCAATGGGATCATCATGGGCTGCCCATGCAGGCAGAGCCCCCAGAAGCAGTAGGAGGTAGCAAGACCTGAGCGAATTGGTGAGATGCATGTTGTTGGGAAGGCAGGGAGGGTGCAGAGAGGAGCCAGGGATGGAGGCCCCTATTTATCTGTCACCTCCCTCTCTTTCTCCACCCATCATGACTCAATTGCCCCTGTGAGGCTGTGACTTCGTTCCCAGTCAGGGAGGTGTTTCCCAAAGACATCTGGGGTTGAGCAATGAGAAGGAAGACAGAGTGAGTCACAGAAAAGATCCTAGCATCTTTGCTCTTTGACCTGCTCAGTCCCTCCACCCCAGTATAGGGTTCTGCCCTGCCCAGCCCCCTCCTGTTTCCCACCGGCATCCTCCTTGCTCCTGAGCCCACCTTCAGGCACCCACCGAACCACCCTGTCAGCCCTCTTAGACATCCAAACTTGCCATTTGCCCAGCTGGATAATTCTGGAAAAGTGGGAAACAGTCAGGGAAGAGGAGAGAGCCCCAGGAGCTGGGGAAGAGAGAGATCTGATTTTGTTCTTAGGGGTCCCCTTTGCTGCTCCTCTCTCTGCTCCAGCTACATAGCCCTTGTCCCAGCTCCTCACAGGACCCTCGCATTGCTGCCTGAAGGCTTTTACACGTGCCTAGAAGCTAGAGTGTCACCTTGTTGTCCCCATTCATTCCACACCTGGCTCAAACGGCCTGCATCACAGAAGGCCCTTCCTGACCACCCCAGGCACAGTGTGGTATTACAGGTATGATGATTATACTCTGTGACATCATTCTGCTGCTCCTATAGTTCTTATCACAATCTTAAATTTCATTTGGTTTTTAAATGTGTGTCTCGCCTTCTAGGTTATACACGTCCAGCAAACAGGCCCTTTGTGCTGGACACTGCTGTAACCCCAACTTAGGGGACATTAACTAGGGCTCAGTAAGTATTCCCAGATGGAACACATGCATGGGTTAGCCGCCAAGGAGATAGTCCAAGCCTGAGCCCATCTCACAGGGTGCTGGAGGGGAGGGGTACCTGGGTCCTCAAAACTGCATGGGGTCTCTTGGGGAGGTTTTGGAGCTAGGTTTTGACAGGATCCCAGCCTCTTTCCTCCCAGCCTGCCGGCGAGGGCGGGGGAGGGGGGGCTGATTGTCATTTGTCATGCGCTGGGAGAGGACGCAGTGATACCTGAAAAGCCGGTTGAAGCAGCCTTGGGGAGAGGCTGGAGACTTGGTGCAGGACCAGCTGTCTCAAACCTACGGGCTGGGGGCCAGGACCTTTCCCTTCCTGCCTCCTGCTGTCTTCCTCCGCAGCCTCCAGAGCTCTGACCTGAAGTCCTGAGCATTGCCCTACAGGCTCAGATTACTGCGGGAAGCAGTTGGGAGCCTGGGCTGGGGTTGGAGTCCAGCAGGTAGTGGCTGGTGGATCATCCACAGTATGTCTACCTGGGGGATAGTTCGGAGGGAGGCAAACAAGGGCCAGTGGGTGGGGAACAATTGGGTGAAGATGTTTAGGTTTTGACGCCAACGGTGAGACTGAGTGAGGGGTAATAGTGGGAAGGTCAGGCACGGAGGAATGCATAGGGCGTGCTCCAGTAGGGGTGGTAGAGTTATGTGTGTGGGTGCCCAGGTGTGGCTGAGAATCAGCACGTGTGTTTTCAACTTCAAACCAGGGCATGAGGTGGTCCCCTTAAAGAAACAGTAGCCACACCCAGAACCAAACATCCCCGGACCAGGGACCCTGGAGGCTCTGCCTTCCTCAGCTCTGACAGCAGAGGGTGGCTAATTGGGCCACCCTGCAGAGTGGATCTGTTTCCCAGTTTCACACTCCAATGACAAAGGCAGAGTTCTAGGCAATCTTGGGTGTGGCACTCCAGTCTGAGCATCTCTAAATGATGGAGAGCCAATGGCCAGGCAGAGAAGTGAGCCAGGGTGTGGTGCTGGGGAGGGGGAGGTAATCAGAATTCTGGTCCACCCCAGGATAGATAGATTCGCCTTCCCTTTTTAAAAGGGTATTCTATCTTTTCCATGGTCTGTTGCGATAGGGTCTCATGTAGCCCAGTGGCCTGGAACTCATTATGTGAAAGGCTGGATGCCCTGGAATTCTTGATCGTCCTAATGCTGTGGCTGAGCGCTGGGATTGCAGGCACATATCACCACTTGACATTTTCTTCCCCATCCTTCTTTCCCTCCATCAGCCCTTCTTCTTAGTTTTCTGTCCCCATCTGCTGCTGAATGCAGGACCTGTCATCTTTCTCCTTAACTGCTGCCAGCAGCCTCTGGCAATAGAGTTGTGCTGGTGTTTGGATTTGGGGGGGGGTCTCACACTTCATGTCACAGTGTCCCAAAGAAGCATGTAGTATATGTTCCCACGGGGTGTTCGCCCGTCCAAGGATATCACAGTGAGTGCCTTACCTAGTCCCTCTGCAGAGGGACTATCTGGGGCTTCCCAGCTCAGGCCAGGGTCTGCCACAGTTAGAAAAGGACATACTGTCTATTCCATGGGATTTAGCAGATTGGCCCATAACATTGATCTGAAGCAGCTTGTTATTAATCAGATTTATCATTTCTAACATCAGATCCTGGAGAGTTATGTGTCCTTTTTATTTTGTTTAAGCTAGGGCCCTATATTATAGTCCAGGCTGGCCTCAAACTCATGGCAATATTCCTGCCTTAGCATCCCGAGTACTAGAATTACAAGCAGGTACCACCCTGCCCACATCTGGGGCAGGATGGTTGTTTTGATGTGGTTCTGGCTAGCACAGAACTCTTAATCTGTGTGTAGCCTCACAGGGTCTGAGATGACATGTGTGTGCCACCATACCAAGGAAAGCTTTGCCTAGTAGCATCTGGATGGCTCTCCCTGTATGCACACTGCTTCCTCACACATCCTGGGCAAGTGTTTGCCACAAGGTTATATATGCCCTACACACTTCCATTTTGTTTTATCCATGCTTAGCTTTTGAGACAGGGTCTCACTTTGCAGCTCTGGCTGGCCTGGAATTCACTATGTAGACCAGGCTGGCCCCAAACTCCCAGGGATCTGCCTGCCTCTGCCTTCCAAATTGCTAAGAATAAAGGTGTGCACCATAACACCCAGACCTTTTAAAACATTTTTATTTTGAGACTAAGTTACCTTGAATTCAACTTTGTATCCCAGGCTGGCCTTGAACTGGACAGTCCTTGACAATGTGATCCTTCTACCTCAGCTGCAATTACAGATTTATGCCTGGCTTCATCCAATTTGTCATTCGTTTACTTCTCCAGGGTCATTCAAGCAGGAGATGGCCTTACCAATTCCTGTTCCATGACTGGCTTTTGACATGATACGGTTCTGGCTTTACTTTTGTGGGACAGGACCTCTGTATAGCCCCCGGAAAACTTCTGTGGGGACTTGGGGAAGGAAGAGGTTGTGTCATTGTATGAGTTTTGGGCCTTCCGCCCTTCTTTCTAGAGTGGTGACTCCTTCCTATGGCAAAACCCTACAGGGCCCCTTGGTCACAGCTGCGTGTCAACCGGCCCTGCAGGTGAAGTTGCCTGACAGTGAGTCACTAAAGCACAAGCAAGGCCTGGGGCTCAAGGGAACATTTTCCCCTTGTTCTTTCCTAGATAGACACTTGCAAAAGCCTGCTTTGTAAGTTGGGCATGGTGGCATGCAAATACAATCCCAAGGCCTAGGAGTCTAAGACAAGAGCATCATAGCACATGGTGGCATGCAAATACAATCCCAGGACCTAGGAGTCTAAGGCACAAGCATCATAGCACCTTCGAGGCCCACTTCAACTACATAGCAGGATCTTGTGTCAAGAAATGAAGGAGATAGGGCCTAGAGAGGTGGCCCAGTGGCTAAGAGCGCTGACTACTCTTGTAGAGGACCTGAGCTCAGTTCCCTGTGGCTAAGAGCACTGACTACTCTTGTAGAGGACCTGAGCTCAGTTCCCAGCACCCACAGGGTGGCTCACAACAATTTGTAATTCCAGGTCTAGGGGATTTGATGCCTTCATCTGGCTTTCAAGGACACCAGCAATGCACACACATACATGCAGGCAAAACTCTCAGATACATACAACAAATACTGTTTAAAAGAAGATGAGGGAGAAGGCCCAGTTTGTGTCAGGTGGTGCCCCAGATCCAGAGGGCCACCTGTGGGTACCGCATTCCTAGAATACAAAGCCAATGAGGGTGACATGGAACAGGACTAGATAAGTAGGACTAGATAAGGAAAACTACAAGGCAAAGACTGGGCTGTTGTGAGAAGACATGGCTTAGGGATGCTTCTGCACCGGGAATCAGAACACACATGAGAGCTGAGGGTGGCTCAGCATGGTTGGAAGGAGAGGAGAGACTCCCACAAATTGTCCTCTGACCTCCACACAGAGATGTGGGGCGAGGATAAAAAAATAAAATAACCTGAGGGGCTGGTGGAGTGGCTCAGTGGAAGAAAACTTGCCTAGCGTGCCCAAGGCGCTGGGCTGACTTCAGCAAGGATGGGAAGATAAAAGAAATTGGGGAGATGGGGACCAGGTGAGTTCATCAGTCACATACAGACACACCCACCTTACTGATGCTTCCTAGATATTGCAGGGATGGCTTTGGTTGCTGTAGTATTTTATTTTATCTTTTTATTTTACATGTATGGGTGCTTTGCCTGAATATGTGTCTGGGGCCTGTGAAGGCCAGAAGAGGGCATCAGATCCTCTGGGACTTGAGTTGCAGGAGACAGTGAGCTGCTGTGTTAGTGCTGGGAATCGAACCCAGCTCCTCTGGAAGAGCAGTAAGTACTCTTAACCACTGAGACATCTCTCCAGCCATTTGTTTGTTTGTTTGTTTGTTTTAATACGGGGTCTCACTGTGTAGTCCAGGCTGGCCTCAAACTCGTAGAAATCCTCCTGCATCAGCCTCCCAAGTGCTAGGATTGTTGGTATGACACTTGACAGGTTGAGCCTCTGTGCCAACCCTGTGTCCACACGTGCTTTGGCTCCATCTCCTCAACAGCACAGATGGTTGGGAGCAGTTGTTAGCAGTCGTAGTTTAAGGTACTTGTGGGCTGGGGTGTGCGTCCACGGCAGAGCACACACTTAGCCTATGCGAGAACCTGG